CAACATTGGGCTAAGTGGGTATTCAAGCAGCTATTCTGAAGTACGCATTTGAAGTTTATATTGTCAAAACCCAATTAGTTCTGGAAGTTTGTTTTCTTGCTGTATGAAATAATAGACAGTTTTCTGGATTAGGATATCTTAAGTGTAGGAAACTTATTTTTAAAATAACAAAACACCATATATTCATACTTAAAATAGTATTTTGTAAATGTGAAATGTAAGGATTTTGTGTTATAAATAAGGCTGGGTCTGAGTGAGTCATCCTTCAATTACATGCTCACACAGTACAGGCACAGAGGGATGTAGACCTGAGGAACAACCTTAAATGATTCAACAAAAATAAAAGGAAACATTCCTTTGGAAGCCAGACAGTTGCTTATGTCATGAGCCAGGTGAGACAATTTGAAGACCTTAGGGAAGTAAATGGGAAAAACCTGGAGTTGAAAATCTGACAGTAATTTTCAAAGATCTAGCTAGGGTGTGTCTGTCAAACGTGAAATGGTGGGGAAGTTCCAGTTTCTTGTCCACTGAAGATTTTCTTTCTGGAAATGATCTCAGGGACAAAAAAGAGTCAAGTTCTGAGGAAGACTGTCATGGTTTAAACCCAGTCAGGTAACTCGTTCACTCACTCCCCCCCTTCTGGGTAGCTCTCAGTTACCTCCTGGGCATGACGTGCTGTGGTATGGAATACCTCTTTGGTCAGTTTGGGTCAGCTGTCCTGTCTCTGCTTCCTCCTGGCTTCCCTCCTCCCTGGCAGAGCATGAGGCTCACAAAGTCCTTGGCCAAACCAAAACATCCTTGTTATCAGCTCTGTTCCCGAGCTGAAAGTCAAAACCCAGCACTGCACCAGCTACCAAGGAGGAGAAAAATGACTGCTGCTGCTGAACCCAGGACAAGACATAGGATGTGCCAACAAAAGGCTATATGAAAGGTCTGTTTTGTCCCGTGAAAGAGTTGCGAGTGAGGTCTTAGGTGTGAGCTGACCCAACAGGTATAGGCCCAAACCTCAACTGTTCTCTGTTTAAAAACCAGTTTGGAGAGGAATTGGAAGCAACGTTGGAGACTAACCAAATGAAAGCCCAGCTTCTGCTGGGTTGCTCTCTAAGTCTGGTGTTCCTGTGTCTATTTTACACTTACGCTGCAATTTCAGTATTGGTGTGTGAGTACCTTGACACTTGAGATTTTTGTTGAGCTTTGTAGTGATGTGGTATTCTCTCACTTGTTTAATGGTAGGTCATTTCAGTGTACTTGGTCAACACAAAGTTAAACCAGCTTCCTTTGTGACTTGGGCTGGGGAACTGGAAAGAATAGGACAATTCTGCCCTTTTGCTTTAGTTTAGGAAAATAGGTGCTCATGGCTTTTTATAAATGTTGACATTTGTGATGATGTATCTTTTTTCTGTAGAAAGGCATTTAAGGCGTGTTCACTCGAGTGTAGTTATTCAAGAGTTAACGTGTAACATTACCAAATTTCTTCTGAAAAGGAATTCTCCATCCATTTCCCATTTTAGCTGTTGGCATCTGCTACAAAACACTGCATTACACGACCTGAATAGAAGCAGAACACTCTTGTTCAACCCCCTCATGCACCTGCTGAAGCAGAGGGCACTGTTGTATATTCTGTCACTGATTTACATAACAGGATTTTTGTCTTACATCAAGTGAATGAGATATTCTATTCTAGACACTTGTTTTCTATCTGACAACATGCATTGTCTGCTTTCCTCAGTTTCCCCTTTCTGCACCCATTTCTCATCCAGCGAGTTCCTCAAGAGTTTCTATCTTGTCGTAGAGTTGCTCACAGTTTTTTCCAGCTCTTGGGCTGCTGTAAAATTGTAATGTTCTGCCTCCTAGCCTGGCTTTCTAAGGAAAAGCTGCTACGCAGGGCTAAATTCAAATGTGATTACTTGAATTCCTATGAGTGAAAACTGGCATCTTGATGGATGTTAATTAGCTTTGGCTGAGGAAAAATAAGCCTTTTAGTTGTTTGGCTCATGTGGTGACTGAAAAGCAAGGGCTCACTCACCTCATAGGAAGCGTGTACTGGCCTGCCAGTTGGCACATACGTACACTATGCCATGGCTTGTCCAAAAGTGATTTTTGCCTAGCTGTTAGAGCTGTCAGTTGCAGGCAAAAAAGAGAGGACATAAAGTTATGGTGGTGTGAAACTGGGGGAGGCAAGGGGAGATGCAATACCTGATGCCAGTAACCTGAGGGGTAGATTTCACAGTTATGGGGAAAACCTGATGTATCATTTTTTCTGGCCACAGAAGGGCTTGTAACAATTGGAGATTTTTGTTTTGCTGTTCTTTTATGGAAAGGCTGAAAATAAAACTTACACTGCTACTAATATATCCAGAGATGATATCTGCACGTCATTCCTTCAAAAGGCTCTTAGCGAAATAAAAATGCTTTCTGAACTGAACTCTGAGCCTATAAAAATGCCCCGTTAATCCTGTCGAGTGTTGTCATCCCCACAGACTTGCTTTCTAAATGAGAAATATTCATGGAATCAGGCTGGTGTCCTGGGTGGCTGGAGACTTTTATTCTAACGGTTAGTTACCGATCACCCACTAGAGGGCTGAACCTCGTTGGGGAAGCATAACTACCGTGAAGTTTGGAGGTGCAAGGAGAGAACCTGTTCATAGAAATGTTTCTTTTCGTGATGCCCTGGTTCTGCAAGGATGGCAATCAAGCTCTTGTCACTGAGCATCTGCTCTGGCCAGAGGCACCCTTCCACACAGAAACAGTAACAGTCTGGTCTTCAAGCCCGTGGCGAGGTTCTTGAGCAGTTGTGGAGGTGGGTCTTGGAAGAGAAGAAATGCTCAGAACCTTGTTATCATCCAGTTCCTTCCTTAGTTTTACTGATGCCAATCCTTAGGAAGATCAGGTGCACACATCAAGATGTGGCCTCACTTGAACTGAAAATACCAATTCAGTGAAGGCTGGAGTGTGAGCTCTAAAAAGTACAGTGTTTTGTTAATGATGACAACGGACCCAGTTCCAAACCAGGGCATGCTTATACCCGTGGCACTGAAGGCAGCTATTTTCTAGCCCACTATTTATAATCCTAATAAACTGTGTAAGATATAGATAAAGTCTATAGATAAGTCCTCGGAAATGTTTTGTTGGAAAATTTGGGGCAAATTTTCACTGTAATATAGAAATGTATTAATATTTAAATGTTTAAATATTATTTTAAAAGAAAAATCTGTAACCTAAAAATGTAACAGTAGCATATTTAAGTGTAGATCACTGTGATCTGTGTTGCTTGTTTTCTTACAAAAGTATTTTCTAATGCATTTTTTTCTGCTCAGATGTTTCAGAAGTCCCAATCTGCTAGTATTTTATTACTTGTGTATATAGTGTGTATCATTACCTCGATATAATTTGATTCTTAATATAGTCCTCTGAGTTATAGTTCAGTGTACGTGGCTGAATTAATTCTTTTTCCTTATTAGCTAACATCCTTAATATACTTGAGAATGTGCTGTTTCCTACCCTACCTTAAGGAGAGATACCCAGACCTAGCGAAGCCTCTTGCTCTGACTCTTACAAAATCCCTTTGCAGCTGATAAGGTTTAGTCTACTTCTTAAATATTAGAAGTTAAACAACAAAAATACTAACATTCACCGAATATTAATATATATATTAATTTATATTAATATATAAATGTATATTAATATACGTAAAAAGGATAATTTCAGTTAAACTGAGAGTTCATTTGTGTTAATGGAAAGATTTATTTTTAAAGCTGCATATGAAGCATGGTGTGAAATACAGTCTTGAGGAAGGGAAGAATTCAAGATCAGACTTCTCAGAGGAGTTTGAAAGGGTTTCTAAACCAGACTTAGCTTGAAAGTAAGATAGCATAGAGACTGGTAATGGAATTTGGAAACTCTAAAGCTTGGGTTCATCTCCGCTTGATCCTCTAAGAGTAGCTTTATGAGAGGGTGAAATGTTGATAGGTGCTGCTGAATAGTTCACAGTCTGTGAGTATAACTACAGCAGTGTGGTAATTTGGATCAGGAACTTCCTTCTTTTGCTTCTCTGGCACTCCGGAGTAGTTTTGGACCACTCTGGTGGTCTCTATCTATCCCTAGATAGTCAGAAGTAAAAAGAAAGCAAAAAACCTCTTGAAATGTGAATTATGTGAATGGCAGCTTCTCAGATCCAACCGTAATAAATTAATTCTTAAGAGATACTCCAAACACAGCATAGTGTGATAGCACATGTCATTTTGCAGTAATTATCCTTGGACTACCAGTGATCCCAATCTCAAAATAACATGAGTAGTAGGAGTTTCAATTAGCATTATATGTATCTTTAAAAGCACAATTTTTAATGATTCTGTTAATATTTGGATAAAGCAGGTAAGACTTTTCTATTTTAAAATGTAATAATTTTTCATTTGGGTGAAATGGAAGTTCATGTCTCTCCTTTTAGGATAGATAAGGAACATTATATGTTACTTTCTCAAACCATTTAGTTACAGTTTATAGAGTAGCATCATTTCAGGGTCTTGCAAAGGTATTTCACTGTAATAAGCAGTGAAACAACACTCAGTGCAAGCCTCAAAGCACACAAAGGTGTGTGACGACTGAAGGAACTCTCAAACTATCATGTTGTGGCAACATTTCTGTCATTGTCTGCTATGTTATAAAGGGCTGATTCAATTCAACAGAGGAGTAATACTCGCAGGTCTAGTCAAAGTGTAACCAATACAGACTCTGCTGAAGAGTTACTATGCATTACTAATGAGAGACATGCAGCCAGAAAGTAGTATGCAGTGCTTGAAAAGCTCCTCAACCTGTGTGTAGCTACCAAACTTGATGTCTCCTTTTCTTTTCCTTTTTTGCATTGCATTATTTTAAATAATGCATCCAACTATCTAGCTTTTGAAGGATTTAAACACACTGTAGAGATACCTACTTCTAAGATGCCATCATAATCAAAGTCATTAATTTGGATAAATTTCCTGTTACTAAGTTATACTGAAATGAACATTGTGGGAAAACTCAGTTTAATGATACTGTGGAGTATATTCATGCTTCATTCACTGCTGTCCTCTTTGCAAGGTAAGAACTTTATTCCATTTTCTATATAATGCTAATTTTTACAAGGATTTGTTTTCCTAAATATTTTAATATTACAGCTTCTTCTTTTTCTATCATTACAAAGCAACTTTTTTGACCCATTCTGGAATTCATACAGAAAAAAGTTTTTTTTTTTTAACACAGGTTAAAATACTGTATATCGCCATTCTCTCTCACAGATGCAGAAACTAAAACACAGCTTTTTTTCCTTTACTTAAGACACATTTTTATGTCTGAATTTGTTACAAAACAATTATTTAGGAACAAAATTTTAGACTTTTTTTTTTATCTTGTCATTATTGTCAGATGAGTAAGCACCTAATGATCTTCAATGGGGTATGATTTTGTTTGAACAGACTGCACCTGACATTTGTTTAAACATATTTAGAATGCTGGGGTGAATAATCACTCTTCTAGTTATAGAAATTATCTTCTTTTCTATACAAATGAATCATAGATAGTTTTCTTGCAGTAATTATAGAGATTTCTAAGGCAATATGAGAAAAAAAGCAGGGGGTTTTATATTGTTTGTTTTAAAAAGCCTGAACTCCAGAGCATTTTAAATGATTTTCAGTTGAGTCTTACAAGTAACATTCAGAAAATGATCATAGGTATCCACCCTAGAAGTTTGATTCTGGAAAGCTCTGAGCACCTCTTGTATTTTATCAGTTTTGCTCTGAGCCTCTGAAGAACTATGAAATTTTTGCTTTTTTTTCTTGGTAGCACGTACCAGAACTGAGATGCTGGGAACTTGATGGTCAGTACTTGAGAGTCAAATTCTCAAGAAGAAAAGCATGTAGTGCTACATCCTTTGGAAACAGAAAAAGTTTGTGTGAAGGTGCTCTGGAAAATTTAGGATCATTAAAGAGCAAAGTTCAATAGAGTTGTTTTAAACTTGACAAACTGTAGAAAAAACATTTAACTTGGTGACTTTTTAATCTACAGGATCTTATTGCAAGCTTTCTCTTCTGAGAAGAGATTCAAGGTAAGTTTTTTCCTTTACCTGTTAAGTCCTACAAACAGAACAAGAATGAAAAAGTGTGACACAGTGCAAATTAGAAAGTAAAATACAGCCTTGATTTTGACATGTAAAATGTCATGTATGTGTACATTGGATGTAAAACACACCTTCAGAATGTTTACAACTCTTTTCAAAGACTTTACATGAAGGGCATGGGCCCTTTGTTTGAAAATTGTTTGAAAAATGGAGGTCCTTATGAAAAGTGATACTTCTATGCTGTTGAGAAAGCTTAGAGGAATAATGGAATGAAACCAGCATGAGATCATGATTTTGTGACTGGAAAAATACATTAAATGAGTATCCTTCAGCAGTTTTAATTGCATGATAAAATCCTAGCTGCTATTTGAAGCACAGAAAAGTAAGTGCTATACAGCCTTAAGATAAACATTTTCAATACAAATTTTCATGTAGAAGATAAAATCCAAACAAAACCCAAACTAGGGAATGTTCCTGATCCCATTGAATTAAATGGGAACTATGCCATCAGTTTCAATAGAAGCACCCAGTCAGACATAGCTTCAGATGTTTAATGATGTCTAACACATCTAGTGAATGCAAGTCAGATGATATGCCATCTCGGACTGTTGATAAAACTAAATAGTTTTATGTTCTTGTTTCTAATCTTAATCAGAAATTTAAGGCAATAAAAGCTGGAGAGTTATCTCATCTTTTGCTATTGCAAGTAGCATCATGGTATATTCAAATAATACTTGAGGGAACTCACAGCCACTCACACGCAGCATCAAGTAAATATGAAGCTGCTTTACAAGTTTGTATCCTGTCATGGAAGCCTATTTTGCCTATTTACATCTCCTCCACAAGCTCCAGGTACCTCCCTGTGCAAGCAGATACCAGAGTGCTGCCCAATTCTGTAAAATGAGATCACACAAAAAAGAAAGAAAAAAACCACCTTTTAAAATGTTAACCCAAGAAAGACTGCTTTGATAAAGTGATGGTAATCAGAGAGAAACGCTTCTCTCTGGGGAGCTGCTTATTCAGGTTGCTCCGGGGACCTTTGATTATACAACATCCTTTTTGTTTTGTTCCAGAAATGACTTTAATGCAACTAGAGAGAAAAGAGATCTCGTAACAGCCGAGGTAGGTTATACCTCCAAAAGCAGGAGGGAGGGAAAACCCTTCCTGCTTTTCTGCTCTGGGCCTTTGCTATGCTTACAAAGGAGCTTTTGTGAGGAGAAGGGCAGCAGTAACAGGAGGACAGTGTTGAGGAGCAGCAGCTATATACCTGCTCACCCCCCTCCTGAGCCCATGCCCTCATGCCTTCATCCTCTCTCAGCAAAGCACCTGGTGGGTGACCCCTTGACGAGCTGACTGACGCACACCACAGGAAATAAACCTGTGATTCCTTTGTCTGTTGTGAGGGGGAAAAGAAAGCCCTGGAAAGCTGTTAGTTTGGTGGGAGCCATGATGGCAGCACCACCAGCAAGGACCCCTCCCACATGTGGTGCAGTGGTGGCTCCAGCCCAGCCCTGGTGCCTACCACTCCGGTCCACTGCTGCCTCAATGCTGTATCTCAGCAATGTTGTGCTGAAACTTAATAGTAAACAGGGGAATATCATTCCCCTGCTGGTACACACCTCAGGCTACAGAGCCCAAATGGGGTTTGGTGAGGGCAGATGGGTTGCCCAAGGAGATCACTCCTCACGGTCCTGTGGGGAGCCTGCAGCTGAACCATGGATGATTTTCTCCAAGTCACTTTGAGATCCATGTGCCTCCTGCCGAATCAGAAGGTAGCTGGTGTGAAATGCTGCACTAAGGTGAATTGAGCCCCTGAGGGAAACAGGACCTCAGGACTGATGGTGTCTCAGGAGGGCGTTCAGCAGGAAAGTGCTTTCGCAGCAAGGGCCCTCTGCCTTCTTGAGATAACGTAAAGGCCAAAAACTGCTTTCCAGATGAGGACAGCTCTGGGTAACTATCAGGGTAAATGGACACGGGTCTTGTTGTGCAGGAAGGGAAAGGATTCTCTCTCTGCTAGCAGCAGGCCATGGAGACCAGGAATAGTTTTGGTGCAGGGGCCGTTAGGTGGTGATTTGATGAAGTCCATTTCAAGTTGATTTTAGATGGATTGTGCTACTTGGATTCATCCTACATAGTATTTCCATTTGGAAAAGGGAAGCTTTTATGTCATTGTGCAAGGCATTAGGGAAACTTCATCTAACCCATTCCCTGTGCAGTGCTGTTCACTTTGAGGTAAATTAGTTCAAACTCCAGAAGTGGAGAATGACTGGTGGCAGGAGTGAAGAAAGAAATTAGCTTACAAGTAAAGACTTTAACAATTTATTTTGCTTACTTGTGCAGCTGAAGGCTGGCATTTATGTCTGTGGGAGCACAGAGGGTTAGCTCTTTTCTCGTAGAACATCAGAGATGGAACAAATAACCACAGGGAAGAAGAGCTATTTAAGCAAAAGGGCCAAGCTTTATAAAGCTTAATGATTTAAACTGGCCGTGAAATATTTAACTACCCAGCACTTCACCCTGATAAACTTTCCGATCAGACTACTGGGGCCAAAAACCCCGGAGTGCTTTCAGCCTGGGATGGGATCAGTTCTTGGAAGAGACAATGCAATGTGAGAAGCTGCAGTAGCAGAGTGCTGGGTCCGATCCAGGGCTTCCTTATAGTCCAATGTTCCTTGGTTCATAAACAAGACAGGGAGCAAATCAGGCAGATCCACCTCCTCTTTTGTTTTGGGTGAACCAAAATGCAATTCTGAAGGATTTCAAGGAGGACATGAAATCCATTGCAGCTGAAGTGGCCACAGTATGCAGCACAGAGCAAGATCTAGGAGAGAGGATGAAATGGATGGATATCACATCTTTGAGCCCTCCAACTATTGGTATTTGAGCACAGTGAAAAGGGCAGGAGTGTTCTCTGTCCCGTTACTCGTCCTTCCAAATGTAAATGCAAAACTTCTCAGGTGGAGTCTTGCTGGTTCATTGGTGCTGGAAGGGATGGAAAGGAGGCCATCGGTGAGCTTACAGCACAGCTGTATGCTTCCATGCTTCTCCTCCCCATGATGCTGGTTGCTGCAGTCACTGTCTTTCACACTGGCTCATGCTGTCAATCCCTCCTTCAGCACCCATGACTGTTCAATGTGCTGGCTGAGCCACAAATTATTCTTCTGTATTAGAAATCCCAACCCAGTGTTAGGCTGCAGGGCTTCAAGCTCGTATCGGCTCATTCCTAAAGCACAAACACCCTGATTTTGCTTTTATGTTTGTCTGACAGATTCAAGCTTCCTCTGCTCTGTCACACCTTCATGGAGCCTTGACACGGAGTCCTCCAGGAGGTCAGTGCCATGATCCTCACTTGCAAGAGGAGAGATGGTCCTGAAAATGTTGCCTTCCCACCAGCTCTCCTGTGTTACTGTCGGTTACAGAAGCCCTCCTCATTGTGTCCCCTACAGAACAGTGCCTTGTCTTATTTACTTGTTTTATCCATGTTAAATCTGGAGAAGGACTTTTTACAAGGGCATGTAGTGAGCAGACAAGGGAGAATGGTTTTAAACTGACAGAAGGGAAATTTAGGTTAGATATTAAGAGAAAATTCTTCACCATGGGGGTGTTGAGACACTGGCACAGGTTGCCCAGAGAAGTTGTGAATGCCCCATCCTTGGAAGTGTTCAAAGCCAGGTTGGACGGGGATTTGAGCAACCTGGTCTAGTGGCAGGGGTTTGGAACTGGATGATTTTTAAGGTCCCTTCCAAACCAAACCATTCTATGATGGCATGAAAATTCCTGTTAAAATAATACTTTCAAAATATTTTCAAAACCAGGAACAGCCAACTAAACCAATACTTTTTAAAAAAAAAGTTTTAGAGGTGTAGTTCTATTGCAATTTTTGTTTTCTGCCCCTTTTTCTGTCTTTGGCAGAGGATGTAAGCATGTCTGAGAGGCATGTAACTGGTTATGTGAAGGGACAGGGGTGTTCAGGGAATGAGCACACAGCTGCTCCTGAAGGGTTTTTAGCACTGTACAAACACATAAAGCAGGTCCAAGTTACAGAAGTTGTTTTGCAGAAAAGTATATTGTATCCAACTAAACTTTGATATCCTTCCTGGAAAATACATATGTCTGGGTAGGTGCTTTCTGTTGTGTTTTTCCATGTAAATAAATATATGTAATTTTACAACTCACAATTCTAACAACAACAAAGAAGTTTTCCACACTAGTGCTGTTCTATAAACAGCATTTTCTGCTTTGTTGGTATTTTCAGAGTATCTGTGTATATTTGGAAAGCAATTCTTAAATGGAAAAAATTCAAAACTAAGCATGGAAAGGAGTTTTCACAGTGAAGGCTGAAGTTCTTAGTCATTGGTAACTTCTGTGTGTGCTTCATTATGAAGGTCCCATTTTGTTCCCATTTAATGTCATTAGCAGCTTTACCATGGCATGGAAGGGCCTGTTTATGTCATTTACTTCTTGCTTTTCACAATGCTTTTTTAATCTGTCAGCAAGATTGTAAGCATTTATATCTAGAGTTTTCATGCTCCCCCAAGAAGGAAAGCAACTATCTGCAAAACCTGATGAAATTTTGCTTTTTGTAGGGAAAGGGACTACCTTTCTTCCCTGCTTTTTGGGGAACTATGATTTAAACCCACCTCAGCAAATGATTACTAGATGACAGTGAAGTTTAAGCTTCCAAACAGGCTATAAAACCCCTTAATGAAACTGCTTTTGGAAACAATTACTAATTATAATACCAAACAAGCCATTCCCATGGAATCCGGAGTCTCTGACTCCAGCCATCTCTTATGCAGAAATAACCTTTTTTTTTAGCATGGAGGGAAGGTTATTTCTAATTGTTTTTTACTCTGTAAATTATATATTCTGGACTGCTCAGAAAGTCACTATACCCTTTGCTGTAATGCTTAGGAGGGAGGAGATGGACATGTATAAACTGTGCTTAATTTAGTCAATTAGAATAATCTGTGTCCTGTGTATTTCAAGATCAGCAGGACTGGGATTTGGTTTCTTTACATGGGAACTTGACCTTTTGTTTGCTGGGAGGAGGTTGACCTTTTGCTCCTTTGTTAGTTTACAAGTCTCAAACCAAATGGGAGAGAACCTTGCTTCTCTTTTAACCAGGGAACACAAAGGATAAAATTCAGTAGATGTTAAAAACTGGAGATTGTTGTTGGTTAATTTTCTTAGCTGATATAACTACTTATGATTTAACAATAAACAGATTTAATGTGGATCTTTCAGCCTGTTTGCAAAATACCATGTCTTCTAAAAGGCTGCTATGCTTGTTTACAGGTTCATGTTCCCTGGAGTGCCTTAATGGAGCAGCCTGCACAGAGGCAGGTGACTGTGACTGTCAGTTATTTCAGGCTCAAGGAAGCAGATGCCAAATTGGTGAGTTTTGGAGCCAAAGAGGCAAGTTTCAGCTTCAAGTGAGACTTGAGGTGCAGGTTTTTGAAACTACAATGTTAACAGCATATTTGTGATTCCCCTGTGGTAGGACTGTCATTCCACTAGTACCTAATAGGATTAAAATGATATGCATTAAGGATATATAAAAAGCAATATCAGGAATGCCTACATTTTAGCACTTGAGCTATAACGATGCATAGATGCTGTAACAGATAGATCACTGTCTAGTACACCAGTAGCTGGCCAACTTTTTTTTAGCTAGCTGAATAACCAAAAAGTCACTGCATTTTTCTAACAAATAGTGACTTATTTCAAATAAAATTACCAGCTATCTCAATGCACTGGCTCCTGGAACCAGTGCAGGGTTCTGGTTTCTGTGTGTAGGGACCAACAAGAATTGTCTTCCAAGATCTGAAGTAGACCTAAATCTCTTGCCTCTACTTCTCATAGAATTATAGAATAGTCAGGGTTGGAAAGGACCTTAAGATCACCTAGTTCCAATCCCCCTGCCATGGGCAGGCACACCTCACACTAGACCAGGTTGCTCCAAACCCTATCCAGCCTGGCCTTGAACACTGCCAGGGATGGGGCATCCGCAGTTTCTCTGGGCATCCTGTGCCAGTGTCTCACCACTCCCACAGTAAAAAATTTCTTCCTCATATTCAACCTAAATCTCCCCTGTTTAAGTTTTAACCCGTTACCCCTTGTCCCATCACTACAGTCCCTAATGAAGAGTCCCTCCCCAGCATCCCTATAGCCCCTCTTCAGATACTGGAAAGCTATTATGAGGTCTCCACGCAGCCTTCTCTTCTCCAGGCTGAACAGCCCCAACTTCCTCAGCCTGTCTTCATACAGGAGGTGCTCCAGTCCCCTGATCATCCTCGTGGCCCTCCTCTGGACTTGTTCCAACAGTTCCATGTCCTTTTATGTTGAGGACACCAGATGCACACAATACTCCGAGTGAGGTCTCATGAGAGCAGAGTAGAGGGGCAGGATCACCTCCTTTGACCTGCTGGTCATGCTCCTTTTGATGCAGCCCAGGATACGGTTGGCTTTCTGGGCTGCGAGTGCACACTGAAGCCGGCTCATGTTCATTTTCTCATCAACCAACACCCCAAGTCCTTCTCCACAGGGCTGCTCTGAATCTCTTCTCTGCCCAACCTGTAGCTGTGCCTGGGATTGCTCTGACCCAGGTGTAGAACCTTGCACTTTGCTATGTTGAACTTCATGAGGTATTGAGATTCATGAGGTGAAGTATATAATAATTAAAATGTCTCCACTGAAGAAAATGAAAAACTTACAATGATCTCACATGATTAAAACTGTATCATAAGAATTAATAAAAAGTAAAAACTGACTATATTTAAAGTTGAAGAAATTAGTTTATCTTTTGTCCTTGCTATGTATTTCCTTTTAAGCTCTTATTTCCTTTCTGAGCTCTTACTTTTGTAGATGCCTGTGACACTTGTCAATGTTTTACTGTGCTGCTTGTAAGCTCAATGTATTGTCTCCAGTACCCAACACTGGTAAGGACCGAGATGGGATTTGCAAATCGTGGGGACAGTATCATTTTGAAACATTTGATGGCATCTACTACTACGTCCCAGGAAATTGCTCCTATATTTTTGCAAAAGACTGCAGTACTCCAGAACCACAGTACACTGTTTGGGTGAGTATGAGAGCATATGCTAGAAATAACATACTGAGTATTCCTCTATTACAGGAATTGCATTGTAAGTAAGATAAATAGAGAGACAATAAGTGGATCAGGCTGTTGCATTGCTTGCTTGAATACAAAACTGTGCTGCTGGAAAATGTCTAAGCCTATGTGCAGTAACTCAAACCACTGATGAAATGATAATCGACAGCCAGTATATTAAAAATAGTATTTCTTACTCCCCCTGTCCTAAAAAGGATCTTTGATCTCTCTTTTCTGGAAGCAGAAGTCCTAAAGCAGACCTTGGAAACAGCAATAAAATTTAGCTGTCAGGTTGTAAAAAAATTTGAGTTGCTGAGTAAAGTGCAAGCAGCTATCACCTGCCTGAGAGCTTGGCTCCCAAGCATACTGGGTACCAATACACAGCCATCAGCATGCCTATGGGGAGCTGCCTCCATCCCCTCTGTGGATTTGCATTCTACTTTTAGACTACCTCTACGTCATGCAGCGAAGATTAACAACTCAAAAGCCTTCATCTTCACCTATGCATGGAGGGCACTCTTTTTAGTAATTTCCTCAAATTGCTGAGTATCAGTGGTTAATGAGTTTGGGTCAGGGAGAGTTCATACCTATACCTTCTTTGAAGGAAGATGCCTTATTTATCAGGCTGTTGGTTACTGTGGGGAGAGGATATGAACTTATTGTATTACATTTTACACACTGTTTGGGATTTGGTGCTGACTGGGCAGGGGAGAGGAGACAAGAGGGATCCTAATTCTGAGCCCTAGTGGTCAAAGTGCCCCCAGGGACAAGGGCAGGCCTAGATGCTGATTTCTGCTCCAAGGACTAGTTTTCCTTTACAAACACATAACCTCCTCTTCCCCCAGATAATATCATCTAGTGAAGATAAATCTGCCATTAAAACTACCATTTCTATTCACTCAGGTTATAGACAGATGCTGGTACATCTGTCTTCCAAGATTTCATTTTAATTCTTTGGATTCTGTGTGCAGCTATCTTTTAGGACTTCTCAGAAAATGCTGTACCAAAGTCCAAGCTTATATTAAAATTTAGAATCAATATTTGAGTGGATTCCAGCTGCTCCAGAAAGAGAGAAACTACCATTCAATTGCTGGAATAAATGTCATGCTTTGCTAAAAACTGAAAATGTTTATTCAGAAAAGTCATAAGTAAGGTTGAAACAATGCAATCTCTACAGGCTGGGCAATGGAGAGCCAAGAACTTTGTCAGATCCTCACATTATTGTCCTTCTGGCTTTAATAATCTACCTGTCTAGAAAAGGAATACAAGAATTGTTTAATTTTCCTTGATTGTGTTTCTGTCTTGGTCCAGGTTTACATAAAAGCCGTTCATCAGAACTAGTAACTTTTATGATGTCTTTAGTTATTATTATTTTTATGCATAAGTATAAACTATAAGCAAAAACTCTTATGCTTTCCCTCCTTTGGTTTATTTCACTCAGAGAAACAGTAACTGGTTTTTACTTCCAGGATTAAGTGTCAGTTTAGGAAGATTAATTTGAGTATGTGTTACCACTGTATGTGTTTACCAACAGATCTTTTCTAAAAAGCCTGATAGCTCTAGTTACTTTTGAAGTTTCCTTTACTATGTTGGCAAGATGTTTCCCAGTTAGTAACCTATTTAGCTTCACAGCATTGTCAAATAAACTGGCAATGCAACTCCCATCCTTCTCAAATAACAGTGACACACACTCATAGGAATTATATTCCAGCTATCTAAACTCTGTCTACATTTTAATTTACCTAAATGATAGGTAGCTAAAATTCGCAACTCATTCCTCTGTCTCATCAGTGTGGTCTAAATTCAGCTCACAGACCATAGTCTAGGGCATCCCACAGGTTTGGGTGTCTCAGCTTCCATGATATTAATGAAAGCTGTTGAAGTTTTGCTCAAGCCCTTGGAGCAGGTATGTGCTTAAAATCCATTCAGACTACATGAGTGTAATTAACTGTGTAGTTAAATGTTTAGAGCAGAGGTGCAGAGCGTTGGACACCTACATCCCTAACATCAGTCAGGGTAAATGTGAACCCACAGTTTTCAAGTCCTGAGAGAACGTCCTGGCCAACGAAAGCTATGTGATGTCTGGGAACAGGGACTTTTCTGCAGGAACTGTGATCTGCCTCCTTTTTGCCAGATTATACAAACAAAGAGTGCTAGTTTATCATGCTGGTTTCAAGGTCTGGTTACATATTTTTTCATTCAAGATCTACTTGGCTGCCGTCAAACTGTAGACATGCAGTAGACAAAGAGTAGACATCCAAAATCTCAACAAATCCTGAGTGGTTCAGAAAGGTGTGCTGTAGTTCAGCTGGTGGCAGTCTCAGCTGACATGGAGAATGCTGGTATTACACTGAGGTTTTGTATTGGTTTGTAGTCCCCTCTTATAGATCAGACCTCTAGAAACAGAGCAATAGAATTGTCTCCTCAGTGCAATTAACAAGGCCCTACATTGACAGTTACAAGCCATCTCACTACTATGTCCCTGAAGTTCATCTACATAAAATAACTGGCCATGTCACCCAGTACTTCACCCACTGTCCTGTGATGATTTGTGCTATTAAACTCTCGCTGTATTTCTCAGTAGTATTGAGTAGCGTGAACTTCTAGCTTTGCATATCTTTGTGACATTTTTATATTCTAAGTATTTATTTGTAAAACTCTTTCAGTAATTAGTGCATAGAAATGAAGAATATCATATATGAGTTTATGAAAAATTACCTGATGACATCATTGAGAACAAACACTTATTGTGTGTACATTTCTCCTCTCTAAGGTTCATAACAGTCCTCACTGTTATGGTTCTGTATATACTTGTCAGAGGTCCATCAGCTTGTTTTTTTCAAACCAAGAAGAAATAATTATTTCAGGACATGAAGTAAGAAAAGATGGAATCAGGTAAGTATTCTAATGGTTGATTTTAACGTGATCTAATGGTTTGATTTTAAATGGTTGATTTTAATTGCCAAAAGATAGTGTGGAGTTTGGGAAATTAATGCTTTTTACACCAGCCAGAGAAAATGTTTTGATACATATGTTTGTTGGTTGCTCACTGTTCTATATTGTTCTGCTCTGACAGAGCTCTCATGTGAGCAGATGTAATGGTGCAGATGTAATACCTGAGTGAAGATAGCATACGCTTCCCACATGAATCTTGTGTTCAACTTCTCAGCTGCAACCTGGCAATTACCCATCCCTACTTTGTATAGACAAAGTCTGTATCGGGCAATTCCAGCTAATCGTTGGTGCATCCTGATACCATTTTTATCAAGGCAGTTATTATTTGTTCTTGGTAGCAATACTTAATGTAAGACATAATCTTCTAGACAAGTCTGAATTGGTTGAATCAAAGATCATAAGCCCCCTTTTGGGCAAAAACTCCACAAACCATATCTGAGGTACATCAAACCCTCAATTTTACCTTTTTTTTTCAATAAGTAAAAAGATGAATGCAAGGCTGTCATGTTTTACTGGTTAATAAAGTACAGGAAATTTCAAAGAGTTGTGGCCATACCCTTCAATATAATGTTGTATCTGATAGCATCTGAGAGTGATAGCTACTGTGATCGTGTTCATCCCAACAGAAACTACTTTGGAAGATTAGGATTGGATCTGTACTACCGTGTTATTGTCCAGTGGTCTTTGGCCAAAGGAGGAAGATACACAGTATCAATACAGGTCAATAGTTCTGTACTATAAGTTCCTCCATTTGCAGATGAGGGCCAGGAGACCTCCATGTATGGATAAGGAGCTGCTGAGGAAACTTAGAGGGAAAAAAGAGGCTTATAAAAGGTGAAGGCAAGGACAGGTGGCCTGGGAAGAATACAGGAATGCTGTTCGGGAAGCTAGGGACCAGGTTAGGAAAGCTAAGGCCCAGTTAGAATTACACTTGGCTAGGGATGTGAAAGATAACAGGAAGGGATTCTACAGGTACATTGAAAATAAAAGACAGATTAGGGACAATGTGGGCCCTCTCCGGAAGCTCTCAGGAGAACTGGCTACCCTGGATTTGGAGAAGGCTGAGGTTCTTAATGACTTCTTTGCCTCAGTCTTCGCTGGCAAAGTCTCTGACCACACCACCCATGTCTTGGAAGGCAGATACAGGGACTGTGAGCATGAAGACTTTAGGCCCACTGTAGGAGAGGATCTGGTTCGAGACCATCTTAAGAACCTGAACATGCACAAGTCCATGGGACCTGATGAAATCCATCTGCGGGTCCTGAACGAGCTGAGGAATGAAGTTGCTAAGCCACTGGCCATCGTATTTGAAAAATCATGGCAGTCAGGTGAAGTAATGGGTTCAAACTTAAACAGGGGAAGTTTAGATTGGATATAAGGAAGAAATTCTTTACTGTAAGGGTGGTGAGGCACTGGAATGGGTTGCCCGGGGAAGTTGTGAATGCTCCATCCCTGGCAGTGTTCAAGGCCAGGTTGGACAGAGTCCTGGGTGACATGGTTTAGTGTGAGGTGTCCCTGCCCATGGCAGGGGGGCTGGAACTTGATGATCTTAAGGTCTTTTCCAGCCCTAACTATTCTATTCTATGATTCTATTCTATGTTTAACCCAGTGATGACCCTGTGTCCAAAAAGGCTGCTGGGGGTCATAGTGTCATGCATAGTGTCACACAATGCAGCAGGCTCATGAAGTCATGTATTCTTCAGTGTGCCCATGCTAGGCTTTGAAAATAAAGATTCATTATTCTTTCAGGCATCTAATTTGCACAACCAATAGGTGTGTACAGAACAGCATTCGTTTTTGATGTTGCATGTAGAGAAGTAAACAGAAGATAGGAAAAACATGATGAAGAACTGAACAGAAGTGACTGTATACACCTGGAAAAGAGGGTTTAGTGAGTTAGAAGGTGATGTTTTATGTGGCATTTTTCTATCACTAACCTATCTCATCTGAAGCAGGCTGTTTATTTTTTTCAGATTAGTTTTGCCTCAGACAATTGGAAATGCTTTCTTTGAGAGACTGGCTGACTATATACTGGTGAAGACCACCTTTGGTTTTTCTCTTGCTTGGGATGGAAACTCTGGTATTTATATCAAGCTGACAGAAGATCAAAAGGGAAAACCTTGTGGCCTCTGCGGAGATTTTAATGGCAATAAACATGATGACCTGAAACTGCAAAACAGTAAGTCAGTAGCCTGGAAATACACCCTTGTGCGAACAGCTTCCATGCTCACTTTTAATATAATACTGTAAAAAAGTAGAGTCCTGTTTCAATTCTTTCAGTAGAATATAGAATATCTGCTCTACTCATCCTTATAATTAAAGTTGCTACAGGAAAAGGTTCAAGAAAGTATTTAAACGTATGCTTAAGTCTCTTCTTGCTCAGCAAAGTACTTGGGGCATGTTTATCTTAGCTGATGAAAGTGCCTTCAAATAATAAATAAATTAACAAATGCATGTGATTTTCTCTATGTTTTAAGGTGGAGAGAGAAGGAGAGAAGAGCTAAAATAGTAATATTTGCAAAAAGCACCATCTCCACTCGTTCCTTTGTATGAGCATCACAGAAGTGCCAGTTGAAATGTGTAAATTTCAAAGCTATTTCCAGGTAGTCCCTTGTATGCATACATGGCATGAAGTATCATAGGCCTCTGATTACCCTGTAGGATAAGGATCTGCCCAATGCTTTGTCTGAGGCAGAGATGACTTGCTAAACTGGTAAAACATTCTGTAGTCTACGTAGGGACTACACCATAGGGATTTTTGTCCTACTTGCAATTAATGTAAAAACAAAACAAAACAAAAAACCCAAACCAAAACAGAAAAAGAACAAGCTTGAGAATGTGAGGAATATTTTTCCCAGCCTCTGATAAAAACAAAGACAGGACTGTTTTACTGTTACCATTCGTTGCTGAGGGAATCTCGTCCCATGACCCTGCATATTCTTATGTCACAGGAGTTATCTCACTGAAACTATTTTCACCCTCCCCTGTTGTTTTTTTTTTCCCATTTTTAATGGTAGATAGTGGAGCTCTTTGACTTTCTAAGTGAAGGAAGATGCTGTGTACCTATCTTTGTATAGTCTTTAAAAATGTGCCCAACATATATTTCTCATAATTCTTCTGCCATGGGAGCAGTAAGTTGCCTGTTTCATGCGTTAACTTCTGCACAGAAGAGTATGTTATGTTTAATAACTAGTTAAAACTGGTGACCTGTAATACTGGAGAAAAATGGAATTTGGGGAGATAACAAATTCTCATGATCTCTAAAAAATAGTAATTACAATATCTTTAAATATATTACCAGTTATAGAAGACTTCCAGCTCTTAGATATCTTAATTTCCAGAGCTACATTTCTTCACCATCATAATTTCTTCTAACATTTTTCTTTATCAGAAATTATGGTATTACTGTAGTGTACAATCAAGAGCTCTATGTATCATTTTAACCTTGAAGCATTGTATAACATGAGGCCTTGACTCTGTGCAAATACAAAGCTCGAAGTTCTGATATCTTCACAAGACTAGGCTGCTAATTCAAATTACTTCTAAGCCAAAATTTTTTTCTAAGTGTTTCCAAATCTTATAAGTTATTTGGGACGATCATTTATCTTCCCCAGCTAAATTACTCCCCCCGTAGTATAAAGGACACCTTTATATCTATTCTGCATCTTCCAGACTCTGAAAGCTCTCTATTTGCTATGGCCCAAGTAAATAAGTTGCTACAAGGCATGTAATACTCCATTTCAAAGCACAGTTTAAAACCAAATTCCTTTTCTGTTTCCTTCATCTTTAATGGCATTTTTGTATTGCTCTAATATATAGCCTATATTTGCGTACAGAACTGCTTCAAGGACAGTGATTTTATTTTGTGGCTTTTTTTGAGCAGATACGGATTGTTTTCAAGCCATGTAGAAATGTAAAAAAAATATTTTTAATATTTTTTGCAGAAGCAGAGTTATGTCAACAGGTTTACCTCTAGATCAAACCCCAGCTTTTTATTTTTGGGAAGGGTTTTCTGTGCAAAGAACTGCTCTGTCTGAGAGGGAGAAATGCTTTAAGTCTCCCTGGCTGTTAAGTAAAGTAGACTGATAGGGTCTTATCTTTGTTTATTTGTGAAGATCCAAGAACAAATATCTGACTAGTGTGCTTTGGGGCTTTCCACATTGCAGTGTCAAACTTTGTACATCTTGTTCTACAAGCAGTTAGATTAAATTTTGGATAGTATAGCTGTGTGAAAAGAACTGTATCTGATTTAATTTCAGTACCGTGACTCCCAACCATGCATAGATACAGATAATTGTAGCATAGATACCAATTACTGTAAGGGTCTTCAAGATGTAGGCAATTTACCCTTTTTAACACACTTAACATACAGAAAATATAATATTTAGTTCTTGCCACAAAAATATGGACATTTGGGGCCTGTTTCTTTACTGCCAAATTCCCTGTATGTTCGTGTATCTTCCTCAGCCTGTTGCCATGACTTCCAGTTATGCGTCTTGTTCATTAATTCTCCCATGCTCATGCTGTGAGGAGCGCTGGGCATGTAGTGGTGTGTTTGTTTAAGGGCTTTTCTGTAGCAAAGGAAATGGAAGGAGATAATAGTGCTGACTGACGTTTGTGAAACATGATGAAAGCCTTTAATTGTCTTAAAGAAATTTATTTTTTCTTAAGTATTCAATACATTATGCTTGTTCTTATTTGAATATTTGTAATAAAATTGTCACTGACTGCTCTTAAAAAAAAAACAACCAATGCATTATCATATATTTTTTTAATCTTTTTATTTAAATGCAGTAGAAAATACTTAAACAAAAAAAAGAAAACTGAGATTTTTCTACACCACCTGTACTCTGAACATATCTGTAAGTGAGACAATGAACACATTGAAAAACACCAGGAATTTCCAAGTTGTCTTTGGAGTTTGTATTGACAGTTTGTTTTTTTTTTTTCCTGGGTGCTCTTCCAATATTTTCATGCAGTAGATGAATATACAGAAGACATTGCTGAATTTGCAAATAGCTGGGCTGTGCAAACCGCAGATGATGTAGCTTGTGTACCTACTGCCTCAAATTTTTCCAGTCCTTGCTCAGCTGATGCAGAATCCACTGAGGTAAATTAATCATTCTTAATCTTCATGGCCTAGTGATGGTACAAGAATCTAGCAATATACACCATGTTGAAAAAAGCTTTAAATGAAATGAGGCTTTGAAAAGGAAGATTCAGATCAGGACTGTTGCTAGGAAATGTCTGAATATCTTCAGATGTTTAGCTTCGAAGTACAAAGGCTTAGATAAGATGTGCCAAGTGGCACAGCTCTGCTGGCAGAGCTCTTCTTTGCTGCAGTAAACTTGGGTCAGTTTCCAGTCCTGGCATCTTGCACCTCATTATTTTGGAAATTGTGAAATCCTGCAGAAGTAACATGCTCAGCTCCTGCATTGACACAAAATGATTTTTTTTTGTCATTTCATGCTTTTTCATCCTAGCTGGTTTAGGAGCAGCATGCAATCAAGACAGCCTAGGGAGAAAGGACAAATTTTTGGAAGACTAATGAAGGAGATATAATAATAAATTATGAGACTGAGAGATTCTGAAATTTTAATGGGGATCTAAAGGACCCTAAATTAAGGAAACAAAGCTAAAAAGAATTATGCTTGTCCAGAAAGTATTTACTAACTGTTGTTTACTGATTCTCCTTAATGCACAGGACATATTCTTCAAGTGCCAAATATTCCTACAGTTTCCTTTTCTCAGCTGTCATGAAAGCATAGATCCATATTCTTATATTTCTAGCTGCATGAATGATCTTTGCAGGTAAGACTGGAGTTCTTCTGTATTTAGTTTTGACACATGAAAAATGAATGCTCACACTTTTATTGGAGGGAAGAATTGAGCAGCACTGAGGGAAGTTAGGAAGAACCAAGCTCAAAATGAAAGAGATGGGGTTTCTCAGTGGGTGATTTAGTGTGGAAACGAAGGGCACAGAACAAGCCTTCGTAGGGATATTTTGATTGCTAAAGGTTGACATAGACTTAATGAAATACTAGGCAAATACATGGCAGAGAAATCCATGGAGAAACACTAATGATAAAAGAGGAGCTGCTAATCACAAACCCCCTGAAACCTGTACTTGGAGGCCCTGAATCAAAAATACGTGAAGATGATACTAGGAGAAAATATTAATGATATTGGAGGAGCTGGATCATTTGGCACAGCTGGACTTTTTTATGAGCCCTATGGTTCAAATTAGTAGAATTTCTCAAAATTGTTTTATGTATGTATATTCAGATTTGTCAAAAGAATTTCATAGTTCACCGGCTTTGGTGGGAGTTACACCCCCTCAACTGCTAGCATTATACGCACCCTGGTATTTTTTCCTTAACTCTCCGGACTCCTGTTTAGCTTTTGTCATTCAAGGTAAAGAGATGCTCCAGAGTGTAATTGAAGAGATGACTGAGCTCTGTACCACTTTTTAGTGTTTTTTTTTAATTAAGAAGTAATTGTCATAAGTAGCAGGATTTTTACCAGATACTATTATAGCCGCCTCAGTTTATCATCAATTTAATCAAAACCATACAAAATGATCACAAGACTAAAAGTAGAAGTCACTCAGCATAATCCATTACAACTCATTAGTTCATTATTGATGAATTTTTATGTCCCGATTTACCATGAAGTCAAGATGGAAGAATTTGTGTTTGTAGGCAAATCTCCAGAGTTTGCTTCCTGAAGTTTATGATCTGTACGTTGATTGCACTCAGAGAAGAAATGAGTTGCCTCTGTATGGTCTCTTTGTAACTCAGGAGTTTATTGTGACTTTGCAGAAGAATAATGAAAGGCAAATTTTCAAAAAAGCAATTTTCAAATGTGATATTGCATCAGTGTCATAGTGTAAAGGCAGATTTGATTTTCGTGAACATATATACATGTGTGCTGTATATGTGTGTTGATGTGAATTGTGTGAATGTTAAAAACCTTGAAGGAAGTTTCTGTGACTCAGAACCTCATTAATTTAGGCTTATTTCATTTATAAAAGAGACCTCTCTTCTTGTGTCTTAGTGTCAGTTCATGAAGTTTTTTTGTGGGGCCACAGTATATGCCAAGTATTCTTTTTATTAAGATCCGTTTAATTGGATTAGATAAGGAAAGCTGGAGAGACTCTGATCACTGTAACAAAGAGTATAGTGGTGCTTGATTTGATTCAGATGTGCTGATAGCAGAATACAAACACAATATAATATATTCTTAAAACCATTAATTTTGGAAACATGATCTTGTGTATTGAAAGACAAACTCAGCTGATCTTTCACAGTCATGCTTATAATAGAAATGTCTTCTTATGACTAGTTCATTTGGCATCAAGTCCTTCGCAGTGAGTGATGGGAGCTTTTGGACTTTCACAGTAAAAAAACATTGGTGATATCTCATCTTGTGTGACTTAATCTGAACAAAATTTGTGTTTACCTAACACTGATGAATATCTTTTTACTTGGTCCTGGTAAAAGCATCCTGTACATCTTCTTCTGTATAGACGAAGGCAGAGATAATGCCTTTACCCAGGGTTGTGATATAAATCCCTGAGTCTGTCTATGGCATTCAGTGGATAATACTTCTGGTGCTGAGCACTTCAGCATAAGGTCAGAAGTCTGTCAACAGGGCTCTTCTTGCCTAAATTCAAGGACTGACAGGCAGTTAGAAGCTTGAACTTGTTACTTGGACCAGAATGTCTTTTGTCAGTGCAGGTCAGAGTTTTCACGTCATGCAGGAATGGTGGTTTTTACCAAATGATAAAAGCACAACAGTGTATTCAGTATAGCTTGCTCCTTTTCATAGTATTTTCACTATATGCTATTATGACTGAGTGGTGTCAGCTATGTGTGAAGAATCCTGAGCAGTGTCCTGTGGCAGAGATTTGTAGATAGGATCTGAATTCCTTCATTACTCTCTTGTTTTATCATTTCAGAGCAGATGATGATGAAACATACTGCAGGGCGGTGACAGAGTACGCTAGAGCATGCTCTCACGCTGGGTCCCCAGTGCGGGACTGGAGGGATGACTTTCCTGCCTGTAGTAAGACCCTTTAACAAAGCATACTATGTGACCTTTGAGATACCCAATGTATTAATTTCAAATAATTCCATCTTGACAGCTTCGTCACTGTAACTCAAAGCTGTTACTGAAGTAGATCAGCCAGCTTCACTATTGCTGGAAAGCAATGAAGTCAGTGACTTGCTAGAGGAATATTTTAGTTCCATTGTGATCTGATCTAGATCCGTACAAAACTCACGTTTCAACAGATCACTTGAAACATCATGTGTGCTGATTATATTCTAGGACAAAGAACAAACATCTGCAGACATTTCATGTTGCCCCTCTTCCCAGATGACCTTTCAGCCTTTACTGGCCCTACAGAATACTGTTAATCCAGCTTCTTCTAGTTATCACCACCACCCATCAACTGCAGTTCAGTCTCATGCACGAGATTTTGAACTAGCTGAGATATAAGCACACGTTACACTGTCACAGAAACTATAACTTCTTTTGGAGGGGTGATGTAAGAATTTGCCAAAGAAAGACTTAACTATTGATGAGAGATTCACCACAGTTTGTCAGTTAAAACCTCTCCAAACAATCCATTTTACTTGATCTGAATAATTACCTATACTAGAAACACTGCACAACTGTTTATTTGAGGGAGGAAATTCTCCAGTATGGAAGGAGAAATCGCACTGATGTTCAATGTATGATGTATTTTTTCCAGCTGAGAAGTGTGAAGACAGCTTTGTACACCGTGACTGCATCAGTTGCTGTCCACCAACCTGCACATTTGAAAAAGACTGTCTTGGCAGCAACCTACACTGCTTAGATGGCTGTTACTGTCCAGATGGTAAGTACTGTCAATTTTATATGAATAAAATGTGTAAAGCTAATATCCAACATCATAATAAAGCTGTCAAAATAGACTGTGCTTAAGTTAAAGCCTGAAAATATGAGTACTGTAAATTCTGCTCTAGCTGTTATTCTAACCGTGATTCCTCATTTTACTGTGTTCTAAACATTTCTCTAGCATACAAAGGTGTCTCTGAATGAAATATCAGTTAAAACCTGGAGCCATCACTAATGCTTTTTACAATAAGATATTACAAATCTGCTTTTGTTTGAATTATTCCAAAATCTGTTGTGATTTATGTTAAACAGGGTGTGTCTTATATATGCTCTGTACAAGGAAGCAAATATGTGAGACCTGTACTCAACAAAAATCAGGTATTGGACTATGAACAGTCCTGTTTCAGAAGGGCTAAAGATACGTGATACCAGAATTTTTCCATTTTTGAGTCTATACAGCTTCACATGCTTAAGGCAGACATTCTTCATAAAGCAGCCCCTTTGGAGTAACAACTGCTTTGAGAGAGCAACACTGTTCATCACTGTGAGCTCTCTGCACTCACCAGGCAACTCTTTTTGTTGGTCCCTGGGTAAGACTGGTGGGATCACCTTCCGGCAGATTTGAGTGTTTCAGTCAGATGGGGGAAAAGCAGTGATCCAGAGTGTTAACTTGGTTTTCATCTCATTTGTTAACTTCCCTCCTGATAGGTCTCATTATGGAAAATGGAACCTGTATCTCTGTGTCGAATTGTCCTTGTATTTATCATGGAACTGCCTTTCCTGTAGGCTCAAAAATTGAACAAGAATGTAGCAACTGGTAGGTGAAAGCCTCCTGCCTGTTTCCTCTCTCTGTGAGTGCTCCCCAGTGTTAGTTTAACATCATAGTCACATTTGCATTTTAAAGAATAGTTAGTATTTATGTTTTATAGTCTTGGCCCTGTCTATCACTAAAATATTCAGGCTAATCTACGGAAAGGTTGAATTCAAGACATACTAGTTAGTGAAATGCTTCTCTTTTTGCTAAAGATCTGAACACTGATTTTCTGTTTTGTGATTTTTCTTTCTAGTATTTGCATTGGTGGCATTTGGAACTGCACTGATCATGATTGCCCAGGTATCTGTACTGCATTATTCTTTTACCTCCTCAGTGAACATAGGAGATAAACTTTTCAGAAGACAACAGAAGCAAATATGATCCAAGGGCTTGGTATGCTAATTTAAGCAGAAAGATAAAGCAGATGGATGTTGAACATAGCAGTGAGCCAGCTGGTACAAAGCTGCTAACTGCCTGACCATATTCATTTTACCTTTTCCTATTTGCTTCCCTAACTCAGTGTGTTACATCCAACTCTTGTTTTCTGTCTTCTGTTTATGCTCTATGTTCTTTGGGACAGATGGCTTAGTTATACTGCCTCTGCAGTACCTAGGCCAGGTACAAGGATCTCCTCACTTCTAGGTGCAATTGTAATGCATATAATAAGAAACCCATCATTCTGATGATCAGTGTGCTGTATTTTCTCCCTTGTAACAGCAGTTCATGCTTGGATAATGATCCTTATCTTCAAAGATTACATGTCTCTGTACTGAGTTACTCAAGGGAACATGCTTTAGTTGGGTAGTGAAACTCCCTAGACAGTTCTGTATCTTAGATGAGATTATACTATGAAACCTGTGAAAGAGAGAATTGTTTACAAATTAAGGAGCCCCCTGTGACTGAGATAATGAACAAGGCTTAACAGTTACTAAGCAAAGCTTGACAGGTTGGATCTGTAGTGTAAAACAGTTGACACTGAAAACCACTTCATGTGTCTTGTCTGCGTAGTGTGTGCATGTGGGGTTTAATTATAACTACTGTAGTCTGGTCCTAGGGGCTGAATGCCTGTTAGTAGCAGGAGCAGGTTAGATGTGCTCCCATAGAGTAGTTGCAGTAGTTGCAGTAGTTGCAGCAGTTGCAATAGTTGCAGCCGTTGCAGTAGTTGCAGCCAAAATGAATCTAGTTCATGTGCTCTGACACTGCCCCATGGTGTGAATGAAAGTGCAGTAAGTGGGGATCACTGGAGACTTGCTTCAGGAATGCAGTCTTGATCTGAACTAGAAAATTAATATAGATGTGCCCTGAAGGCAGCCACCTGCAGCCTCTTCATACGTGCAGTAACAAGCAGTGCCAGAGTACCTAGAAGGAAAGAGAAATAATCTTGCCTTCACACCCATTCATGCCAAAAGATGACGAGGAAGGAGATTCTAGGAAACTTCAGAACTGTAATAAAGAGAAAACTCTTTTGAAATTTAAAGAATTCATGATTCAAAGGCATCCCATCTAGGTATAATCTGAAGATGCTGCACATTGATGTCTGCAATGTGAAATGGTATATCTGAAGAAAATAGCGGTATATAAAGTATTTTATTTCCAAATGCCATAATAGCTAGACAGATTAAAGTTACCCTGGATTATGTACTTAGAGTTAAGGAGAAAATTTCTTATTTATGTCTCCTACAAAGCTCACAGAATAATTATACATTTTTATGCAAGTAAACACTCATGTTTACCCTTTTTCTCTCAAGCTGAGTGCTCTATAACAGGTAGCTCTCACTTCACAACATTTGATGGACGTCATTTCACCTTTCTTGGGATTTGCCAGTACATTTTGGTAAAAGGCACTGGGAAAAACAAATTCACAATAACTTTACAGAAAGCACCTTGTGGACAGGTAAGTCACAAACATGTCCATCCATATTTCAGGCAATCTTGTATAAGTTCTGCTGTAAATTACTGGGCTATGGTTTATGTTTCATGTTTTCTGTTTATGCTTTAAACAGAAAATATAAACTGAAACAATTTCACAGCTTTTTATGTAAGCAGCTGTATTCCTACATATTGTATTGCCTTTTGTAAAACAAATTGCATCTTTAGAGGGATAAAGTCAAGAGAGTTATTTACTTATGCACATTAAACAAGTATATATATCTTTGGCTATGGTACAAACAGATGTCCCAGGCTTTAGAAAAGCTCTTTTTGGCATCACTGAACAGATTTAATATGCTGCTAGGTAGGCAAGAGGGTTTTTTTTTGGTAACATTAGATTTTTATTTGATATGTTATAGCATATTTACTTTGTTGGAAAAATACCTTTTAGAAAACTACTGAAGAGACTAGCCACCACACATCTTTGTTTGAATATATTTTGGCAGGAATCCAACAACAGGCTTTACTAATAGAGGTGTTTATAAAAAGTACTTATCTGCGAGACTGGATTTAATGATGTTATTAGTCACCTAGGCTCTCAGGAGAAGGAGCTCTGAGACTGTGACTCACAGCTACCAGTGTGCTGAGGGCTGGGATGGCTGAACTCATCAGCAGGGAGTGATACATTAAATCTGCCGTCCTAGGGGACTGTCTCTCAAAAGCTAGACTATGAACTGGCATGTGATTTTTTCTGTAAGCACCTCCCTGTGTAAGCATAGGTGTTGAGCCTCCTGTTTCTGCATTTCAGGTGGCCTCATGAAATGGTTGGTTAGGTAGCCACTGAGAGACAAGGATGCTACCGGAAATAACCCTTATCACAATTCTAGGTACCTTGGAAAGTTTCAAGATGAAAACACAGGGGGCCTGGGAACCACAAGATGCTTGGTTTAGTCATGTATCACCTTTTGTCCTGTACTTAGGTTCATAAATTTTGCCTGGATAGTACTCTTAAAATGATGGGTGTAAGTTAGTTTATAAGTTACCAGTTTTTGACAGTCAGATACTGATATATTATTGCAGTATAATTCTGGAGAAAATATATCCTTTTGGTCTGCAGTCAAAGAGCATGACTACATTTCAAGGCGAGAAGTACCTTCATGTGTACAATAGTTTCTTTCTGCTGGATTGGCTGCATTTGGGCTCTGGTTGTACCAGCTTGCTATAGACGGGGTCAGACTTATTCAAACACTGGTTAGCCCAGCAGTGAGGAGTACCCAGGGAGGCCATGCAAATATGGCCTTTTGAACCCAGTATCAGTACTGGCGACCTCAGTCCAATTGCTACTAGATTGCCATAAGAGCTAAAATGCATTCTCCTTGCTCTTATATGCATATGCATATGCATATTCTAGATACAATTTAGGGTGCTCTGTTTAATGCTTTAAGTGACAGTTTACTACCTGATGACAGTTCTGGTACTCCCTTTCTATACAGCTGTTTTTTCTCATTTGTTTGGGTTTGCTTTCCGTGGTAATACTAATGTCTCCGTTTCTGATGGTGAAACTCATTTCTACTTAGAACTTTGACCACGCCTGCATTGAGTCTATAACTCTAGTCCTTGAAGATGATGTGAGCAAACAAGTAACTCTCACGAGATATGGTCAAGTCCAAACTGGCCCTAACCAAGTTTTTAACCTTAATGGTAAGAAGTGCATGGAGTAGATACCAGAGTTCACATTCTTTCTTTTATATGCTCCAAAGCTTTCTAATAATATCTGTCTATGGAAAGGAATTCCTTCGAGCATAACTTATGAAACTCACAGTTGATTACTTCTTATAACCTTAGTAGTGGTTCTAGAAATATACTTTTCCAGCCTGTGAAACGGAGCCTTTCATTATGCCCTCATTTCTTTGCATTTCTTACATTAGAGAGTACCTAGAATTCCACTAATTTTGTTAAAGGGAGAGGAGGTAAGAAAAAGAAGAGAGGCTAAGAGAGGCTGAAAATCATCTTGAGACTGATGTTAAGGTCTAGCTTAATTAAAGCTTATTGGAGTAAATGGCATGGAATCCATGTGCTTTGCAGGATCTACACTGCTTTCAATGCTGATTTATATATCTGCCTGATTTCAGGCAGGTTACTTCATCTTTTCAGAATGGATAGTAAAATAAATTAGCCTTAAAAGAATTTTATAAAATTCAACATTGAAAGTGGACATGATATTGCTAAATTTCATATCTTACAGTGAGCTGTAGTGAGAAAGAGTAAAGTGGGAGTTCCTCTTTCCCAGCTTCTGGCAAAACAGAGTTTAGGGAGTTCTGTGTTAGTGCTTTCAACTGTATCTTTGTTGACTTTGTCCAGTCACAGTACTGCTTTTGACATTCACAGCTTCCTATGCAATGAACTTCATAGATCAGATATACTTTCAGTTATGTTGACAGTTCTACTTCATAACTTCATTTTAATTTAATTTTATCTCTTGAGTCAGTCTCTATTAACTGTTTTGTCTGTTTCCATACCCTGTGACAAATATAATTGATCACAAATATTTTGGTGTTAGATTCTTGATAGTTGGGTGTATCTAGTTAGTCTTATCAGTGAAGAATGTCTTTAAGCTCACACTTTGTCTGCCTCTTCTCAGTTTATTCATCAAAGTGTGTATGTGTGTGCATGTATAAAGGCTGTTTGTGAAGGTAGATCTGCTTTAACCCTGCAGCCGCAAGTAGCCCCACAGTGTGTGGCAAATGAATGCTTTGGCTGTGAAATTTCTCACATAATGGATTTGCTGGGAAGGAAAGCTGGGAATTTGATAGGGTCTTAGCCTAAACAAGGAGCTGTACTGATGTCATGTCAGCAGTAGCAAGAGAGAACCTTCAATCTAAAGATTACAATACAGTTTACAGACATTTGCTAATTGATCTTATAACGTCCCTGGAGACTAAGAAACAAGTGGTTTCTTGTCTTCTCATTGATGGAGGCATACAGTAGCATTGCTTTATTCTAAAAAAATAAATAAATGTGAGAATGGTTTCTGGATAACTCACAGGTACATAAAGGTGAGAGACTTTTTACTGTTGACTGTAGTTGCAATTCCTGATTTGCGTTGCTAATGAAAAAGAGATGTAGTCTCGTAAGTTCAGATGGAGAATGGGTGAGGTTATTTGGCTGCAGGTGAGGCTGTGCAGTTTCTCATTTTAGTTTTAAGTTTTGAAAGTCTATTTTGCTTAAGAGGTAAACCAATACAACCTGGAAGCTGGATTTCAGTGCTCTTGTTTTTCTTTTTCTTTTGCTATGTGCAGGCGCTATTGAAATTCAGAATGTATCTTCTTTTTTTGTTCAACTGAAAACTAGTTTTGGTTTGAAGGTACTATTTGCTAAAGATGGAGAGAGGATCTATGTTCAAGTTGATATTGGCTGGAAGAGAAGAACATTAGGACTATGTGGAACATACAACGGGAATTTAAGAGATGATTTTCTGTAAGTTGCACATTGTACATTTAGATTGTGTTTAAGAAGAATTTCATTTCGTTAACATGCTCGTACTTTATTAATCTAACCAAGGTAAACTCTCTTAATTAAAATGTTAGGGACTTAAAAATATGAAACACATAAAATTAACTAGGTCATAGAAAGCTACCATATTATTTATAGAAGCTATAATGATGTTTCTTGAATGTACTTTTTTCCCTCCCTGCTGCTCCCTTATCATCAGAGCAAATAGATGAGCAGTGACAAAAAGAGTGGATGATAATACTAGGATCATCTCACCTGATTAACACTTATTACTGCTTGATTCCCCATCAAGTTTTAATGGAGAAAAGAATGTAAGTGTGAACCATGGGAATAATTTAATCAGAAGGGCACATTTTCCTTATTCTTTTGCTTCATTTCGTCTAAAGTTCCTCAATCTATAATATTACAAAACTTCTCTAGCAATAACAAATGCTTCTGAAATACTTGGTGAAACCCAGCATCAAAATGCAAACATCTCCCTTCTAGAACACTGACATTAACTAAGAGGTTAAATTTTTGACATTTCATTGAATTTACGAACTAAAATAAAGGCCAAATTCTCCTCTCATAAATGCCTCTTACAGCTGATTTCAGAGTACTTGAATTAGGTGTAAGTGAGGGCAGACTTTGTAAAAGTAGTTTTCACGAGTACCATATTGAGGAGAAAGCTTTGCTCCTCACAGATGGAAATTCTTTTGACAGGTTACGTTCAGTGTGACTATGCATCTAAGGCTTTTTGATGTACTTGTATCCTCACCCATGTAGCCCATAAGGTCAGCAGGACAATTGCAGTGTTGATTTTTTCCTTTTCAGCTCTCCAGCAGGGATGATAGAAGGGACCCCGCAACTTCATGCAAATGCATGGAAGGTTTCCTCAGCTTGTTCTGTGCCTATCAACATTCCTGTGGTTGATCCCTGCAATGTTAATCAGCAAAATGGTATGTTTTCACATGTGAGTCTGGAATTACCTGTATCTTATAATTATGGGACATTTTTTGTTTTCTTTGCCAGTCAAGAGGAATGATACAATGACATTTCTAGCTTGATAAAGGAAGTACAAGAGACAGTGTCTTGCCAAGACAATGTTCAGATCAAAGGTCTTGTCTCTGCTTTCTCCATGCTTGTTGCATTAAAAGTTTCTTTATCCTTCATCTATGCTCTTTGACACAAACAGATGCAAACAATCTGAGCTTTGTGTATTTGTTCAAATTCCTGAGTAAAGACTTAGTTTTGGCTGGTTGACATGCCTATGTTTTGTGTTGAACTTTCACTGTCTCCTCCTTTCCATGTTGCTGTTCTTTTCAATTAATGAAGACAATGGGCAGACAGCAGTTGCCAATTTTGACAGAATTTAAACTAATGTTTTTAATGTTTCAGACATAAGGCCTCACTAAGGTTGTGGGATTTGGCCATATTTGGAGCCCGCGGGAGCAAGCCTAGAATAACCATAAACTTTTAAGAATCTGGGGCATTCTGGCTTTTTATGCCTTTAGCATTGGCTGTCTTCTAAAGCAGTATATCTCAGCCGAGTTAGCTTTCTCCAAAATACTTCATACCCACCTTCAGTTCTGCGCTTCCTCAGTGAAGGCAAAGTTTGACATAAATGTAAGCTGCTTAGAGCAGTAGCATGAACTAAATGACCCTCTGAGGTCCCTTCCAGCCTGAATTTTCTTGTGATCTTTTAATCATCACTGGAAAAAGCAGTCCCTGATTAAATGGTCCTGCCCCATGCTACCACCTGTACTGAGCCAGCACAAGCATCTCTCCAGGTTTGTGATGAACTTAATCTGATGAAACTGAAAAAGAAATTGTTTGTTTGTTTGTTTTGTCAGGTTACTTTTCAACCAAGTTCACTCCTTGAGTCTAGTTTACTGAGACTACAGAAATCCTTATGTCAGTATGTGTACGTGGGAAGGAACAGGGAGGATGAAGGGTAGGGATGCTCTTTCAACAGAATCATAGAATACCAGGTTGGAAGGGACCTCAAGGTTCATCTGGTCCAACTTTTCTAGGAAAAACATGACCTAGACTAGATGGCTCAGCACCCTGTCCAGCTGGATCTTAAAAGTGTTTCGTGTTGGGGAATCCACCACTTTGTTGGGGAGATTATTGCAATGGTTGAGTGTTCTCATTGTGAAAAATTTTCCTGTAGTGTTCAACCAGAATCTCCCCAGGAGTAAGTTGTCTTTATTACTCCTTGTCTTTCCCATGTGACTCCTTGTAAAAAATATTCTGTGCTATTCATTTGAGTAACTATCACATTAAAATGGATCAGGCTAAACCAGTGTTGCCTTCTCTTAGCTGGGTATGCATCTCACTGTGATATCATCAACCAAGAAGTTTTTGCTCCCTGTCATGCCTACATCAGTCCAGGGTTATACTACCAGCAATGCCGCTTTGACGCGTGCAAATGCGGAAGCAGCTGTTTGTGTAATGCTTTGGCACACTATGCTTACGTGTGTAGCAAGCACGGCATCGTCGCTGACTTCAGATCTCATATTTCTTACTGTGGTGAGTAATGTTTGCAGAATGGAATGTCTTTTGGAAATGTCTAAAATTCTATTTACTCCACAAAGTACAGGGATTGACCTTTTCTGCTGGAAACTAGAATTGTGCCATGGGATAATGACATATTCAGGGGAGAACACAAATAGCCTTTACAGTAGGCGTCTGAGTCGGGGACCCTGAGCTGTCTTACAGGGAACACCTGCCCCTTTCCGCTAGCTACAGAGAGAATTTAAATTTCTGGCTTTAAACACCTTAATCATATGGAAGCTTCTATTAGGCTAAAGTAGTCAGGCAGTGGCAGGAACAAGACTGTTCCTAAGGGAAGGCAAGCCAGGGTGGCAGGGGCTCCCCAGGTCAGGCAGGGAAGGGTAGAAAATGATTCGCCAAGTAGGATATAGCAATAATTTTAAACAAGGCGTTTTTAAACCATACAGTAATGCCTCAGCCTTAACTAGACCATTTTTCCTCTCTTGGATGCCTAAGTTACTAGATAGACACACCCACACATATAAAGAATAGACGTCTACTGCTTACAAAATAGACAATTCCAGCCAAAGAACTGTCTAACATAAACCCACCTGAATCTAAATAGTTCTAACTTATGAAATCAGTAAACCAGCATGTTTTTCTCATGCATTTCAACTCACCCCAGTGCAGCAAGGGAACGTTTTGCTTTTCTGTTTTGCAATTCCATTATACGCTGCTTTGTTTTCTATTTTTCACATTTTAAGAGTGTGTTCTCCCTTTTCTCTCCCTCTCTCTCCTCCAGCTGTGATGTGTCACAGCGGTATGCTTTATCATCAGTGTTCTTCTTTTTGTAAACATTCCTGTGCTTCACTTTCTATGGCAAATATCTGTGGTGATGACTGTGCAGAAGGATGTAATTGTCCTGATGGGAAATATTTTGAAGAGTCGGTCAACTTCTGTGTGTCGATGTAAGTCATAAGAAAATAGAATCTATGCATATGCATATTTTCCCCTTTCCAGAAAGATTTAAAGTAGTTTTTCTGATGTCTTCCTCAAGATGTAGACTGCCTAAACAGGATAACAAACAATATATGAAGATTTCATATTCTTTTGTACTAATCAATAGTGGCACCTCATCTGTTGCTTTGTGTGCAGTCATCTACTGCACTTCAGAGAAGATACATTACTGCTTTAAAGAAAGGCAATGAAACTTTATTAATTCATGGGAAAGCATGTTTCTAACACTTAAGAAAAAAATAGAATCTATGTAGTAGCAATCTGTAAAGAGGGATCATACAGTGAAAGTAGATAGGAGTGTCTTTTTCTATCTCACAATGCAAACCCCTTCAGTTAAATGGAAGGAAATGCTCAATGAAAGGAAATAGTTTTTGTTCTTTACTGTGGGAATGGTGAAGCACTGGAACATGCTGCCCAAAGAAGTTGTGAATGCTCCATCACTGGCAGTGTTCAAGGTTAGACTGGATGGGGCCTTGAGCAACCTGGTCTAGTGGAAGGCGTTCCTGCCTATGGCACAGGGGTTGGAACTGGATGATCTTAAGGTCCTTTCCAACCCAAACCATTCTAAGATTCTATGATTGTGTACTGACATTTTACAGCTCACTGTCATGCGGAGTTACTGAGTTCAGGCACTGAATTAAAAATTGGAATGAGAACTTGGATTAATTTCACAATTATACAGAGCTATTGCTCTTCATTGTACATATATTTTGAAAAGATCAGTAAAGTTCATATTGTAGGGATAAAGACTCTTTCAAACTATTAAAGAGTGTGAGGTAACTTGGATTCCCATATTTTCCATGGTTTCTAGGGAATTCTGTTGCTGTTCTATCCCATCAGGCTCTTGTCACAGACAGAGTTAATAGATTTTGCTACAGTAATTCTTACATCCCAAGATTCTGACAGTAACTTGAATGGGAACTACATATTGCCCTACTATTCCCGTAACTGGGAAGAAAAGCTCCTTTCTGTAAGACAAATGAACAGAAACAGCAAGTAAATGATACAGAGACTGAGGAAAATCCTGGCATTGTTGAAGATGGGAAGAGTTTTGCTACTGACTTCAATACAGTCAGATGGTCATCCTTTAGTTTTTGACCTTAGAAAAGTGTTGTAAATATTAAGATTAAGCTAATGAATTGTAAGGCCTGCTTATCGTATTAGCTTGATAAATGGATTGCTCTTAAATCCACATTTCATCTTGCTTTTGTAGTTACATAAATACTCTTTTAACAGATCTGCCTGTCATTGTCATTACAAGGGCAAAGTCCTCCAGCCTGGAGAAATCCTCCCTACACCAACAGGCTCCTGGTAGGTTTGAGCTCCAAGAATTTTACCTTTCATGTATCACAGTCTGTATGCTACTCTAGGGTGTTGAGAATTCTTTCAGTAGAATGAAAGTCTATTGTATTAAGATTTTATTTTTGTTACACACTTAGTAATAGGGAGCCTAATAGAAATTGGATTACGTACCTGCTTATTTTAACAACAGGATACCTGGAAAATTTTGTAAGCTAGTGACTAAAGAATATCTCAAAACACACACATAGCGGATCCAGTCGTGTTCTTAGACCTGGGGGTGTTATGATAGCAATACGAGACTGGTTTTGGAAGAATAAACAATGTGATTCTATTTTAGAAAGTCTTTCAAACAAAAGCTTGCAGAGAGCTATATTTGTGTCATTTTGCATTATTAATTCATGATGGAATCCTGACCTCACTGAAACAAATGGGAAGCCTCCCAAGTTTCCTGGTCAAACTTGTTCATTTTACAAGAAATGCTCTCCACCTGCTGATCTAAAATCATGTTTGTGACTTTTGTGCCAAGCTTAATTCTTGCTGAGGTCTTATATATTATAGTTGTTACAACTGAAGCTTGATAATCACGTAGTTCAAGAGGTGAGAGTGGGGGCTTCTTTTTCTGCCGTTGCTATGCCTCTGCAATGTTGCTTTTTCCACATTTTTTTTTGTTTTTAAGTAAAAGTAAAAAATAAGGACTAGGTTTATTGTTGAATGCGGTTTTCTCTAATTCTGTATTTTATCATAATAGAATCAAGATGTGTCTCCTAACATCTGTGCACCAAAAAATTTGCCTACTGTATCCTTCCATATTCCCCAACACAGATAAGGTTTTGTGTAACACTGCCAGCAGCCTGAATCACCTGGCCCTTTGCTCCCACAGAAGCTGACATACCCAACTTCTTTTTTATTTCAGTGAAATTTAGGCAATCAAATAGTACACAAACTTCTTTGTGAGTCTGGGCCCTCATTACAGATCACTGGTTAGAAAACCAAAAAATCAAGAAATTGCTGGTTAGAACCCATGCTTTTAGATTTTAATCCTCCTTCTCCTCCTTATTTTTAAATCGGGTTAAGATGTATTATCTTTTTTAACATGTATTTTCCTTTTTAACCTTTTCCCCTTGAATTGAAGATAGGCTTGCTTTTGTTTTTCAGTCAGTGTTTAAACGGAACAGTGAAATGTATTGAAGCCACTACAGAAAATACAGGTAATTTACAGTTTTGTCTCATATTAGAGTTGCACAGAGAAAGTTTTTTAGATTGCATAGTTGTTTGGTTTTCTCCTTATATGTATTTTCATTATGAGATACTTAACATCACGACATGTTTAAAAAAAGAGGTGAGGAGCACAAGTTGTCTTGGTTGTCAAAGTTTTTTCTTTGTCTTTTTTCTGTAGCACAAATTGTACTAGTAAGTCATTTGGGAAATTGAAAAATTAAATAATTGCATGTGAGGTGTAGGTCAATATGTTCTTGTGGGAATACCTAAAATTAGGCTCACTATCCATGTTTAGGAAGCCTGAAAGTGTTGATCTCTAGAAAGCAAATTTTTAATGAATTTCTAATGGTTTAGAAGGGATTTCAGTACACTGAAAAAACACTTCTAAAGATTCTGTCTACCTAAGGCATAATTATTCCATCTTTAAGAATGGGCTGTGTATCAGATCCAGGGTGCATAGATCCAGATGCTTAATATAAATAATGCTGTAGTACAAATGAAGTTATAGAATTTTATCCAGATTGTGCTCTTACGTGTACTGTTTACAGTACACGTAACAAATAGAGTGTGAACAAAAACAAACAGAAAACCTTCAGTGTAAAAGAGCAGTTGATCTCATTTAACCTGCATTTTACATTTGAAGTTCACATATGCCCTGAAGGAAAAGTCTACTACGACTGCAGATCTCCTGTGCCTGGATTACCAGCAGCGGGTGTGAATTGCGGGATCTCTTGTGCGAACCTTGCCATGAACTTTTCCTGTGTCCCCTCACCACCTTGTGGAAGTGGCTGCATTTGCCCCCCTGGGTAAGCTTTGGCAGAACAACGTGGAACACAAGCTACATACATATTTTTCACAATTTAACACGGCATATTTTGTTTTACTTTTTAAATTCCAGTGGTATCACACCTCTAAATCTGAACCTACTGCTCTCTAAATTTTTGTGGTTATACAGAAGGCCAACTCTTTCTTTCTTCTCTGAGACCCCTTTTCTCATTCTTGCTGGTGTGAGGCTTTGTGCTATAATACTGCTTCAGTTGGAGTTCCACAGTTTGTCAATGCTGAGACCATGATTCCACTGTCCCATGAGATATCCAGCTTGCTACCAGTCTGATTGGCTGGTATTTGGGACTCTTTAGACAGGAGATGACTCCCACCATTTGAAGTATAATTTATTTGAGTGTAGAAACAAACATTAAAAAAAAAGGCAATGTAAGCCATCTGTGCTCCTGCTTACTGCCCAAGGAATTGTCTCACCTAGACTTCTACTCAGGCTTACAGTACTAATGCCTAACCTGGATCAAGGGGGAGGGTTTTGTGGGCTGGATCCTGTTCTATTCACGCTCATGCTTTCTGCCATTTTGAACTCAGCCAAAGTTTTTTTCTCAGCACATGTATTTGGATTTGGTGCCCAGAAACAGTCTGCTGAGATTGGCAGAGGTCAATCCAAGTACAAAGGCTAAAAGCATTTGTTATTAAGTTACTGTCAGGATCAGCTACCACTCCCTCTTTTCCATTCCCTCCCATGATGCCTGATATGTGCATTTTCAGATTTAAAGAGTCAAATATGCTGTGCAGATTGCTGCAATTTGACCTCAGGTGAAGTGCTCCCTGTTTTTTCTCAAGATTTGATTTTATTTCACTGTATGTATAGCCTGACAGTATATCAGCTGTGCCCAGATCAGAATGTAATGAGACTACCAGAATTCCCCTTCCAGCAGCTTGTGATGTTCATAGATGATTAAGCACTGGTGAAAGACAGATTTCAGGCACAGCACTGGTGAAGGGCAGATTTCAGGCACAGCTATTCAAGATTTTACTGGCTGTTCTTGCCTGGTATTTTGTAGTCCTTTACAACCTCTGCAACTGAGGAGTTAGCTTTCAAGACTATTAGCGTTACAGGAATAAAGAATTATTTTTAACACAAATATGCACAAATTTATTCAAGGAATCATATAAAAACTAGTAAATTTTTACTTAAACATCAACATGACATTTGCATGAACTTAAACTAGCAGCATTGTCATGAAAGTTCCTTTGAAAATTTGAAATAATTCAAATACGTGTTAAAAAACAGAGCTAAAGCCCTGCTTTCACAGTCAAGTAGTATTACACCATTTCAAATAGAATGTTACTTGAATATGTTTTTCATTATAAACTATAAAAGGGATACAAACAATCCAAATCCCAAATAATGGAGTAGAACACATGAATTATTTTGTTAAGTAAGAGAATAAACACTTAGTTTATTAGATAGAAAAGTAAATGTGCAACATTTAGTGCAGTTAATGCCATAATTACTGTTAAATTGTATTTCTGATGCCATTATGCCTTTCAGGCTCATGGTTCCAGCTAGGAAGGGGCCATAAGGGTTATCTTGAAAATGGGGTTCACAAGTTCTCCTTTTTATACAAGAAAATATTAAGCATATATGTTATGCTATTAAATCTATATTGACAAGTCATGAAAGCCTTGTTATGAGAAGTTTAATTGTTACGTCATTTCTTTATTCTCCTAGAATCATAGAATCATAGAATAGTTAGGGTTGGAAAGGATCTTAAGATCATCTAGTTCCAACCCCCCTGCCATGGGCAGGGACACCTCACACTAACCATGTCACCCAAGGCCTCGTCCAACCTGGCCTTGAACACTGACAGGGAAGGAGCATTCACAAAGTTCCTGGGCAAACCATTCCAGTGCCTCACCATCCTTACAGTCAAGAACTTCTTCCTTATATCCAATCTAAACTTCCCCTGTTTAAGTTTTAACCCATTACCCCTTGTCCTATCACTACACTCCCTAATGAAGAGTCCCTCCCCAGCATCCTTATGAGGCCCCTTCAGATGCTGGAAGGCTGCTATGAGGTCTCCATGCAGCCTTCTCTTCTCCAGGCTGAACAGCCCCAACTTTCTCAGCCTGTCTTCATACAAGAGGTGCTCCAGTCCCCTGATCATCCTCGTGGCCCTTCTCTGGACTTGTTCCAACAGTTCCATGTCCTTTTTATGTTGAGGACACCAGAACTGCACACAATACTCCAGGTGAGGTCTCACAAGAGCAGAGTAGAGGGGCAGGATCACCTCCTTTGACCTGCTGGTCATGCTCCTTTTGATGCAGCCCAGGATACGGTTGGCTTTCTGGGCTGCAAGCGCATGCTGAAGCTGGCTTATGTTGAGTCTCTCAACAACCAACACCCCCAAGTCCTTCTCCGCAGGGCTGCTCTGAATCTCTTCTCTGCCCAACCTGTAGCTGTGCCTGGGATTGCTCTGACCCAGGTGTAGGACCTTGCACTTGGCATGGTTAAACTTCATGAGGTTGGCATCAGCCCACCTCACAAGCATGTCAAGGTCCCTCTGGATGGCATTCCTTCCCTCCAGCGTATCAACCGAACCACACAGCTTGGTGTCATCGGCAAACTTGCTGAGGGCGCACTCAATCCCACTGTCCATGTCACCGACAAAGATGTTAAACAAGAGCGGTCCCAACACCGATCCCTGAGGGACACCACTCATTACTGGTCTCCAGCTGGACATCGAGCCATTGACCACAACTCTTTGTGTGCGGCCATCCAGCCAGTTCTTCATCCACCGAGTGGTCCACCTATCAAATTGATGTCTCTCCAATTTAGAGACAAGGATGTCGTGTGGGACAGTGTTGAACGCTTTGCACAAGCCCAGGTAGATGACATCAACTGCCCTTCCCCTGTCCATCAGTTCTGTAGCCCCATCATAGAAGGCCACCAAATTGGTCAGGCAGGATTTCCCCTTAGTGAAGCCATGCTGGCTGTCACCAAGCACCTTGTTGTTTTTCATGTGCCTTAGCATGCCTTCCAGGAGAATCTGCTCCAAGATTTTGCCAGGCACAGAGGTGAGACTGACTGGTCTGTAATTCCCTGGGTCATCCATTTTCCCCTTCTTGACAATGGGGGTTCTATTTCCCTTTTTCCGGTCGTCAGGAACTTCACCTGACTGCCATGATTTTTCAAATAGGATGGCCAGTGGCTTAGCAACTTCATTCCCCTGCTCCTTCAGGACTCATGGGTGGATTTCATCAGGTCCTATAGACTTATGCATGATCAGGTTCTTAAGATGTTGTTCTTTGTTTTTTCTTTCCTACTTGATTTCTACCACTACCCACTGTTTGAGCCAATCACCTAACATTACTGGGTAGAATCTTGAATTCTTCTGGAGACTGGCACCTTATTCTAGCATCCCTGGTACTTACAGTGCTCATAAAGTAAAGCAGCTTGTGAGTGGTATTGAAAACCTTTCCTTTGGAAACCCATGACTGGATGGACTCTAGTATGCACAAAATGGTCCTCTTCAAGTAAAAATGTTTTACATATTCCACTGTTAAAATTCTTGCACAACAGCTTGCAGATTTTTAATCAGCAGTCGAAGAGGTGGCAAAGCATAAGAAACATTGAAAGTCTCTGGTATGCCATAAAAACTGAATAGAATAGCTCAAAATTTCTTGAGGAAATGAGCTGAGAATGACAGTAAATTTGTCATGCAAAGATATACTGAAAGTCACCCTAAGATTGAGCTGGAGATGTAAGAGGATAAGCTGAATTACAGAAATACAGAAGAGTAGTATGGAAAGGGACCTAATGGGGCTAAGCTATTCTTCTGCCCTTAGGTGGCATCAGCAGTAACTATATTGTTTTTGGCAGACATTTAACTTTTATTGACAGAGACTCTAAATGACCTCCCCAAGCCATCCATTCTAGTGCTTTCATATCTCTAACCATTTTTCTGAACACTTGACTCTTTTTCTTAAAACCAATGTAACTTTAATGAACCAGTAATTATGGGGAGGAGAAAACTCATCTGTGCATTCCTTTTAATTTCAAATTCAAGTGAAACAATCTCAAGATAATTCTTTGAAAACACATCTACCTTTGCCCTCAGTCATGTGTAGCAATGACAACTGCAGGAATTGCTCCTGTAAAGAGCAGCATTGGGAGTGTCAGTAACATTTGTTATTTAAAATTAATGTTGCTAAGCAGATGGAAACAAGGGGGTAACAAAAAGTGGTAAACCACATCTCTGATTTACTTACTCATGATCTAATAAGATTTCCTGCTTTTTGCATTTAGTGATACTGTTTTGTCTTAACCTTGATAGCTGTTTCCACTTCCCTTTTGTAGGCAGGTCCACTGCCCTATGTAAACCACATTTCTTTTGTCCTGCTAACTCGGCAAGAGTTGCCATAGTCCAGCTCACTATCCTGTGCTCAGAACAGGATGGTTGCTGCTCTGTGCAGAGGAGCAGGTACATCAGTCCAGCTGCTTTCCTGGGAGAGGGGAATAAGGAAGCAGCAGAGAGGGAAGGGAAGCCTGGCTGCAGTCTCAGCAGCGTCTGTAACACACAGATGCTCTGCAGATTGCAGAGAGGAATAACTACATTACTTGCATTGCTTACATAGAAGCTGCTGCCCCACCCCAACATACCCATTTCAAAGTAGGAGAGCTGCAGCTGTGAGTTTTGTGAGGTCTACACCTGTGCACAGGAGGTCATTTGATTCAGAAAGCTTTTGCCAAAGCTGGCTGCTTCTGGTGGGGTTTAGACAAACACATTCAGACATGCTTATCTTCCTGTGAATTTACACTTTCATTTCAATAATTCTTTTATTTTGAAGGATGGCTGAGCACAGAGGGAAATGTTATATTCCTGACAGCTGTCCATGCACCTGGAAAGACAGGGAATTTCTGTCAGGAGAAGTGATAGCTACACCATGTTACACCTGGTGAGTAACATGCATTTTGCATACTTCCAGATCACCTTGGTCTAGTCACAGGGTGAATCTGATGCAGCAAATGTGCTGAGTACATTGAATAATCAAAAATGTATCTACTTATTTATAGACAGTTCCAGAATTCATCTTTTATTAGGATCAATCATAGACTTGGAAGAGTAGGCAGATTTTTGGGTGAGTGCTTCTTCGGGTCTGAAAATGACACAAAAGACACCCAAGTTAAAAACCAGTCAAGAGCAAGCGCCCGATTCCACACATATCAGTTAATCTCTGAAAGAAAAGACATTTGACATTTTGGAGAATAGAACGTCATGAAAGACAACCAAGGGGAAAAAGGAGGAATCAAATGAATGACGGTGGTAAATAGTCCGATCCTTTGGGAACTGAACTGTTTGCATTGTGAGTTACCAGTCAGTATGAGTGACTATACAAGAAGAAAATGGGGAAATAAAAAAGCATGAGAACTGGAAAACGTGTTAGTGCCCAGCATCTTTATTAGGGAGCCTTACCTGACTCATATTGACACAAATCAGTTTTTCATCCATTATAATTTGCTAGCCAAAATATCTATTTACATTTAAGTTTGGCATGGCAGCTTTTAATCAGTTAAAAACTTAACTGGCAAATCAGTTGAGTTTATACACTTACACAAGCAAAACTAGAAGCTGTCAGTACTACCTTCACGAAAATTCACGAAAGTCACTGAACGTAGCTGACAGGAAAAGTAATCCTGCAAAATGTCAGTATTTATTTCTTAATCTCATTCCATACTTGTCTGAATACTTATAGGTAGTAACTGGAGGTCTTTTGCATTACGTATGTGCAGATTTTCATCAAAATTTCTTGAGGAAAAATAATACTGATGTTTTATGAATATGTTGTGGCATGGTATCTTATCTATGCTGGCGGCTGTGATGGAAATATTTGTATAAGGCATAAAAATGTTAAGGTTTTACATTCATTTCTTATGCATTTTTATCATACATATGTCCTGATAGCAACGCGCTCAATGCTTTTGTGCTGTGGCATCACCAATAACTTCAAATGCAATCCACAGAATAGCTGTGTTTGAAGGTCTGAGAATTTTCTTCCTTTCATGAATTTCTGCATGGCTTGAAATGAAGAACCCAAGAAAGCTTTTTATGGAAAAAAAAAAAAAAAGAAAGAAAATGACCCTGCTATGAGAAAATAGTGATTGTTAATTTTCCTTTACAGTGTTTGTCGGAAAGGGATATTCAATTGTACTAGTTACCCCTGTCCTGCTGTATGCACTGTTTATGGAGATCGACATTATTATACCTTTGATGGATTAGAATATGACTATATAAGTGACTGCCAAGCTTACCTGCTAAAGGTAGGAGGATTGTTCATATATTTTAATGTGTCCCAGCGAAGGTTCCTGTGAAAGGGCAAGTATTTTGAACATCGGGGCTCATCTATAGAAACAGACATTAAGAAAACAGGTGCAGAACAGATGTCTCTGAAAGGAGGAATCTGAAAATGACATTTTGTGTTCAGCCATTTGAAAATGGTACATGGGTGTGTCCTAATGTATCTTTGCGGTCTAGAGAAAAACAGAAAAATATGTTTTCTATGTTGACCATGCTTTCATTGCAAGGGGCGAAAAATAACACTCTAGAATCTAGAACTAGGTAAAATCTATAGATTTATTTAATACTTATCTATAAACTCTGCTTGGTAGAAGGTTAATGATGACCTCTGAGGCTGCTTGGAATCCTTCTTGAATGCAGTCTGCATCAGATCAGGGGCGTATGTGTATAATATCAAACACAGTGATTTCATAATTCAACAATGAAATCCTTTACTGAGACTGTCTGGCAGCTACATGCTAATGTTCCTCATAGCACACATTTACAGTACATTGCTAGCCTTTTTTGTTTAAAAATACCATTACTGACATTTAGAAATACATTATATTACTAACAACACTATTGTTTATTATCATTGTTGCTATCATTGACTAAGAGTCTGTCTTCTGAGTTACAGTAAAGTGTTTAGAAGAATATTCATTTTCAGTCAACCCTGACTGTCTAACCTTAAGGAAAAACATGGTTTCTCAACAAGGACTACTGCAGACATTTTATCTCATGTCTGTTTGAGTATTCACAGCTGTGAAATAAAATAGATTGGGTCCAGATTTTTTAATTTGGTAAAAAAAAAAAATAAAGGAGAGAAAGATCTGGTAAAAATAATAAGAAATGCCTCATAACAAGCTCCTGGTGTGTATCATATTGTCCCATAGAAAAGCTCGTATTCTTAGAGGTGTATGAACCTTTGCACAAACCTTCCTCCTTTAAGATGCAAAAAATAAGGGTTACTTGTGAAATAATCTTGCTTGTATGATGAGGTGGAAAGGTGGGCTGCCATTCTTAATTCTTATGCCATTCAGCCAGAGAGGTGGGTAACACAAATATATGCTGCTTTTCCAAACATTAGTATGATACTGGAATGTTTTGCTTTTACGAATCAAATGTCACCTGCCAATCTAGTGTGTAAGAAAGTACCTATCTGGAAGCAAACCATGGGGATTATTTGGAGTCCAAGAATAAAGTTGGCAGCCACATAATTAGGGCAGGTGGCACACTGCCCACAGGCCTTTCTTCAGGTGAACACGATGACACAAGTGACAATCTGCCTACATAGATCTGCTTTTCAGATTTTTTTCAGCTTGTCAAACTTTTTCCCCCCAAAATGAGCTAATGTGAGAAAGTATGGCCTAGCTTGTTCACCAGTTTTCTTTCCTCTTTAGCATACAGAAAACTTTCCTGATCTATATTGAAGAACTGTTTATCACAAATTAGCCACTGCATAATTATGTCTGGAGTGGATAATGTATCTCTGAGCTCATTTTTGACTGTGAAATGTTTGGAGAAGTTTAAGGAAAAATAAAATAAAATAAAAAAAAAACAAAACAAAGGATGGATGGGATCATATGTCAGATGCCCAAAAGCTTTGCGTGAACTAAGACACAGAACTGACGAACTGTGTGCTGTGCAATCCTGGAATCAGAGGAATGAAAGATGGCAGTATAGCCAAGTATTTTAAAAGGACTCTGTGGCTGAATTTGGCAGGAACAGACCAATATGTCTGATTTGCATATGAAGGAAATGAATGGAAAGTATAATAAGGAAATGACAATTTGGAAGAGTTGTACTCTTTTTAAAAAAAAAAATTAATGCACAATAAATCTTCTGAGTTATTCCATGAAGACAATATACACGTGGACGACCAGGTCAATGTGTGCGTATTTTAGCTTAAAGACCTGTTGGAGACAAATGTCAACAAATATTTTTTAGAGGGTAGTTTCTCAGAGGATGAGAGTGCAGACTGGTTGAGACCCAAATTAAAAATTAGAAGTTAAAATACAGCAATAAATGGCCTTTTTATAGAATGGAGAGACCCCAATGACATCCCACGCACATCCATGCTGAGACCTGTGTTCATCATCTTCACAAATGATTTTGAACAGGTGGTCTGAGGACTGAGGTGGAGTGTGCTGATAGTAGAGAATCAGTCTGAACAACTGAAACAAAAACAGACCGCCAAAATGTGTAGAGGATTTTATGGCAGAAAACACTGCGTGATAAAACAGAGGATGAAATTCAACAATGAAATATGCCAACCAGTGAACAGAAAAAATAACTTTAACTCTGCTGCCATGAAGATAGGCACTAAATTAGCTACAGCTATGGAGGAATGGAATTTTATGTGAGAAAAATATATGAAACAGATGTAATTGGCATCTTCCTAGTGGCAGCCTGAGTGATAATCCAAAGCGTCTTCCGTTCTCTAGTTTCACATATTCTCTTATTTGCATGTACACAGTTACACCACAGTTGTACCACATACATGTGGGCACTTGTACCACATACTGATATGTCTAAACTGCATTATATGTGCAGACATGATAACATGGTGAGGATGCTCTCTTTTGAAATACACTTTGTGGCTCTTAGAACAGAGGTTTCATGTCTGTCTCTTCATAACCATCCCTACACTGTGCAGTGACATTTTGTAATAGTAGTATCAGAGTAGTATAATGAGTCTCCATTGAGCTACTCATTGTTCAGAAAGTATGCAAGAAAGCCCTGTCTCTTACAGCCTATTACCTGAAAAAAACAAGCCAGATAAAAGGTGGAAAAGTATATGTGGTTGCAAAAGTTTAAATGCCTTGTGCAACACCTTGTCAGGCACAGCTGTCCAGGGCAATCTTGCAATCTAAACTATGCTACCTGTTCTACGTACCAACATATACATATATATGTATATGTATAGGTATATTGAACTTAAATTGTAGAATCATAGAATGGTTTGGGTTGGAAGGAACCTTTAAAGAACACTTAGTCTAACCCCCACCACCATGGGAGCTATGTGCTGTGAGCTTTGTGTTTCCCATCTGTGAGGCAGTACACATAGGTTTGATCGTTACTAGTACACAATCCGTTGATATATTGGTAGTTCTCAGTGTTGTGATGAGCTGATTTTTATGAATAACAGCTAAAAGACTCACCAAATACCTGAAATTGAAACATCTGAACTGGTTGTTATGTTAGACATCAAACATTGTAATAACTTTGTCCTTTCCTGTTTTCTAATCTTTTTCCTGTAAGAAGTGGATTGCTTTGTCTTTGTTATCTTACATACTCTAAACAAAGCTGTTGTAGAAGTGCAATAAGGGAAATAATACATACCATAAATTTGTTAGCATACTAGCTCTTCCCATACGTAGAACTGAGTTCAAGAATTATAATCTGAATCCTACATCCCCAGTGGCATGATAATGTACTATTCCCATCAATGTTACCAGCCCCCACTGTTTAATTTAACTGTTAGCCTCCCTAAATGTGATCTGTTTGAACTGCTGTTTAATTTGTCACTGTATTGCACTATACCAAACAAAGAAGTCATCCTTACCTTTTACTATGTTTTTAATAAGGAGTTCTTGTGCTCATATGGGAGAAAAATCAAGTATCAACTTTCAGCCAATTATGAATCCTCAAACTTTGTTTTCCACATCAGTATCATCTGTCAGGACTTTTTGTTTAAGGTGACAGTAGATCTTTATAACCAGTTCAACAGATATATCTCTTGGTCATAAAATGACCAAAAAGATTTAATGCAGCAATTAAGAAATTAGGACAGTAATGTTTCATAAAGTGATAACTTCATCTCTTTCAGGGAATTAGGAGTTACATTACACACTGAGAAGTGAAGTCCCTGTATGGATAAATGACATTCACAGAGAAGAAATCAATACTTGCTTCTAACATTTTAAAACTTCAGTAATTTCAAAGGAAAACCAGAAAAATCTTAGCAAATTCATTTGAATTTTATCAATGTAGATCATGTAAACGCATTGTTTTAGCTAATCTGGATACTGATGAATTTAAGCCAACTAATTTCTTAATTTTAAAGATATAAATATCTTGCTTTCTTCTATTTTCTTCTCTCTTTGATGAGGCTACATACTTTCCCTAACAAAGTGGTGTTATTATTCTAGGAAAATTTTACTGTGTGTTATCTATACTTGTGGTCGATTTCTTCCACTTGTCTGTTTCATAAATTTATGCCTTCATAGTAAACTTACTCTTTCTGTCACATATCTTGGCCTTTGTCTAGCTTTGCAGTGGTTTTACATCCTGCAGTTCAATCTGGTTATTAAGGCTTGTTGAGTCTGTGTCCTTGGAACCCCTCAGACTTGTTCTCTTCTGAAAATCAGAACTGTATTTTCTCTGATTTGAGGGAGTGTCCAAGCAGGAATTTGGATGGTTAGTCTACCCATCAGAATATACTTAAATGTGAGGGAGCTCTGTTGTAATGTTTATCTGCCATTAAAAAAACCCATCAAACTAACAAAACAACCCACTGAGGTCTTTCCATTAACTTTAGTAGGTTTTCAATAAGGTCCTAAAGCCAAAAAAAAAGGAAAGACTGTTTTATTCTTGTATCCTGAAAGATGGAGGTCAGCAGAACTAAGCCCTCATCCTCAAGTATTCACATTTTATGGATTACTCTAAAGTAATACTTTAAAGTATGTGATAAAAATATTTTCACTTCTTTTCATCTGACATTGGAGGTTTGGCCATTTTAAAGTCACCTTTTCTATCTTTTTGATGCAACCATGAAAGCTGCTTTAAAGGCAAGTTTATCACTAGATTTAGTGTGTTGGAGTATCATTAAAGCAACAACCAGACGTCTGGTCAAATAATTGAACTGTTATGTCAGTTAGAAGCATGGATGTAACTCTTCTGGGTCAGGAGACACCACATGAGAGCCCATTTGTTAAGTCAGAGGTTCATTCAACAAAACATGCATGATCTGGTGAACCAGTAT